GTGCTGACTGCGTACCTAGGTGATACACTCCTAAACCAACGGCGATTATTGTGATTGTGTGAGATTGTTGCCCCCGCCTCCAACCATAGTCATAGCATAGGCCCAGGTCTCACCTTAAACGTGCGTTCCAGCAGCGTTTTTGACATTCGAGAAGTTAGCATGGTGATCTCCGGCTGTTTCGCGGAGTTCCACTTTTGGTCAGTCCGTTCTGTTGGACGGAGTGAGGGGAATGATGGTGTCTTGACCCATGCGCGTCTTCATTCCGCGGCATATGAGGAAACCGGTGCTGGACGTCGGCGAGCATAGGCTGGCGCTACTCTCCTCTAGCCCCTCCTCTCACGCCTACGCTGTTCCGCACAAAGTATGGCGGCAGTCGAGCGGCGGCGGCCAGCATCTCCACAAGACGTTTTCCTCGCCTCGGCGCACTTCTCAGAGGCCTACTATGTAAACTGAAGATTGTATCCGTTAGGTAAGGTACGCTATCCACGATGAGTCTCCACCTGCAGCTATTCCGTTCGGCGAGCCCGATCTTGGCACCCTTGACAATCCACGACTACGGTCTACGCAGTACGTAGGTATGGACGGTCGCCTACCGGCCAATAGGAGACTTCCGTTTCACGGCCAATCGACGAGCAGGACCCACCGCTTGGCCTTGATACGCCTCTTGGTGCCAAAGCCGGCCCGTTGCCGCGCTTTTCTGTTGCACAACCCCTGGCGGAGATGCCAATGGAAGGGGGAGAGTAGGCTAGGAAAGTGCGGCAAGAGTGACAATGACGATGTCAATGTCGGGCAAGCGAGTGGGTTTGCGAGAGGCCGTTTTGGATAGACATTAAGGGTCCTCGCAACAGCATGGCGAGTTGAGAAAGGATCGGGCCCGGGCAGTATGGCATCGGGTTGGAAGCCGTCTGGTAGGTATGCGGAGGGCGTTGCTTGCTACCTCGCACAAAGCCCGACTACCAAGACAAGACGCCATACCAAGTGCAAGCCAAGCGCCACGGCAGAAGCAGAGCAGAGGGCTCTGTGTGATCCGAGACAGTTGGGAGAGAAAATGGGAGCCCCCCCCATACTGGTCCCTGCTCAATTTCTGGGTGCCCGACGTGCTGCCAAACCTTGCGCCTTGGCCGTGAACCCAGATTGCACCTACTGGTGATGGGACATGACGAGACACGACCACACCGGTCAAGTCGAGACTGAAGAAGAAATCGACAACAGAGGAAAGACTCGAGTGAGGCTATCGCACAGCTTGCCGAATTAGGAAGTTACATGGTCCGTGCTGAATACCCGGCAAGGTGGGCTGCCATTGGCAGGCCGTGACCAGTGACCGCACCGCATCACACACCGCGCAGCCGTCCCTGCCTGTCGTCCCGCCCGTCCTGTCCGTCCCAAGCATTCGGATGATGGGTTGTGGGTGTGTGTGTGTGTGTACTTACTGCATAGTATGTGTGTGCAGCGCCCATGTCTCCTGCATCTGCATCATGTGGCCGTCTGTTCCCGTTCCTGCTCTCCCCTCCGATCTTGCTTGGGTGGTCAACCCTGTGCTAAACGACAGAACAGAACAGGGCAGGGCCGGAGGGATGATGGAGGATCTGCCATTTCCGCAGCGGAACCTCGCGCCGCTGCAGTCTCTCCCAGCAAGCATGCGCATGCCTAGGTACCTTCCTTACCCCGGCGGGCAGGAGGAGAATGAGGCGTGAGAGGCAAGGGCCAAAAGGACTGCACCTTCTGGCGAGGTTGCATCCATCCCTTTCACGACTCTCTCATCGCAGGGGAGGTGCGGTCGGTAGGCCAATGAGGCAGCCTACTCAGTTGATACGTGCCTTACCCAAGCAAGTAAGCAGGCAGGCAGCTACCATTGGACGGTAAGTACGAACATACTACCTAAGTACCTTATGGTAAGACTTCTCGCTGATGCATACCAAATACCTACCTAGGTAGGTTCGTTCCCCTGGCTGTCTTCCCTGCACATGTCTGCTCTGCAACCTGCAAGCCGCACTGCGATGGCAGGCTCAGCCCTATGCTTCCAAGCCCGTCCCGGCTGCCAGGCTAGCCCGACTGCTATCCCCAGCGAGCCTTGCTGCCCTCTGTTAGCCACACCTGCCCACCTGCCCTACTGCATAGAATCATTGGAGCACAATCCCTTGGTCGGGTGGCTGTTTTCTTTTTTTCCCTTTTTTTTTTCTTCCTTTTTTTTCTGGGGGGGGGGCCTGGCTTCCCTCCCGTCTTACCTGCTGCCGGATTGGCAATCGTCCGCGAGACAACCTACTAGTGCCGCACCCGCTGGCCGCGATGCGACTGCTGCTCCGCCCGAGTATTGCTTTGCGCATCGCAACCATGGTCCAGAAAAACGAAGCATCCCAAGCAAGCATCACGATGAGACCGTGATCGGCATTCACACAGAGACCGGTCTAGCCTTCTCTCGTCAATCATGCACCCCGTCGCAACGAGCCTCCCCGGACGGTTTGCTCGAGGTAATTGCCTACAGATTGCCCACACGCATTGCATCTCATCCCCTCAAGATCGTCCCATCGCATCGCATCTCCTCGTCCCATCTCCCACATGACGGCTCAGATACCTGCAGGGTCACATCGTACGTCTACGCTCTACTTGCCTGCTTCGCGCCTACCTGCGCAGTTTTGATATCATTGCTTACCGGCTTTCTTTGCCAAACCCCCCCGACCCCTGTCTCGATAGATCCCTCTGCGAGTCTGCGAGGCACAACTGCGCCTCTCATTCGTCCTCATTCGCCGTCATTACCCCCTGAGTCCTTGCTGGCCCAGCTAGCATCGACCAACATACGGTCCCGTCGGTCGGCAGTCGTGATTTCCATCTCTCCGGACACGGCCGTCGTCCCCTCCTGGCCAGAGTGAAGAGACAGTCCGAGGACCAATGCCCCTATTCTCTACAGATTTGCACTATCATGGTAGCCAATAGCATTCTGGCGAGGCGTCGGCATGGCAGGCCGCAATCAGCCAACACTGAGCCAGTGTAACGGACGCTAAAATGGCCGCCAGATACCTGGTGCTGGGTCGCCCAGTCAGAGAGCCAGAACCATTCCCGCCCGCTTCTGCCTCCGACATGTTATTCTCCCTGCATTCGATGCAAATTTCACCTGGTCCTCACTTGCGTCAGAATGTTCACCGCGCTCTGACACGCATATTCGGCCCCTGAATCCAAGCAGCACGAAAAGGAAGCGGAAGCGACCACGTAGGACAACAGCAAGGCATCATCTCCAATAGCCCGGTTCAGTCGTCCTCCGCAAGGCGCTTTACTCTGTAGGGCTGGGCCGCCCTGGACATGACCATGTACATACACGCTCGCAGCAAATTTTCGAGATGCACGGCGGCGCCGGAGCAAGTTCCCAGCACGCGGTACTCGACGGGTAGCTGGGCGGCACAGGAGCGGCATGTGTGCTGCTGCATGTCTCTTCATCAACGCCGGCCGGCTGGTTACACTGCAACGACGGCGGCGGCATCGCTCCTGTGTGTTCTGGCCACCTCCGCACGAGACATACGAGGACCCTGACTGCGAGTTCAGCAAGCCACACGATGAACCGTAGAACGAATGCATTCAACGGGCCTGAGGCTCCGGCGACTTTGCTTTGATCCGCCCACTCTTGTCGACTGTGGCTCAAGTCTTATTTCGCAAGCCGCTTTGTCTGAGGCACCGGCACGCGAGTGCAAAGATTCGATGACGCCTGCAAACGCCCTAGAACAACCCGTAAGCGTGCCAATACAGAAACCATGAGGCCCGGTCGGCATGTTCCTGGAGCGCTGCGAGCGATAGTCTCGGACGGCTCAGAGGCGCCAGCCCGGGACGCCATATCGGATGGCAGTCTTGGATCCCGGCGAGCACCGGGTCGGTCGACCTCTTCAACGAGGACACGCTGGCACTGGCCGGAGCGAACCTGCACGCCTTTGACGCAGACATGTTGGGAGGCTGCCAGCGTTCGTGGCATGGCCGCAACCACTCCGCGCATGATGGACGATGCCGTCTCGGAGAGAACCTAGGACGGGGCCTTTCACCAGATGGAGACATCTATAGTACATGACAATTATCGACATGATGCTATGTTTGATGACCGCAGGGTTCCTGGAGACAAGAACTCTTGTCGGTAAGGCGCATCCATGTTTCCCAGGAAAGCGGGATGGAGTCGCGCAGCCAGGGTACCGCTACCTGCCACGGGCATGAAACATTGGTGGACGACAAAGTCACTGGATACCACCGTCACCCATGCCCTTCTCTGGATGGCAGCCCTTGGCAAAAAGTTTTGGGTTCATCGGGGCTGGTGAACGCAAGCCGGGGTTGCACCGCCTCCCAAATTTCTTTTTAAAGATTTTGACTATCTCAACGACAAGGATGGTGCACGCCGTAAAGGAGCCAATCATGTGCTGCGCCGGGGGTCTTGGAAGGGAGAGCCACCACTGGTCCCCTTTGGGCTTCATGTCTCGACGGACGCTGTTGGAGCGTGTGACGGCCCCGGCCACTAGCCCATGACGCGAGATGCTTGGGGCAGTAAAGTAGCGTGCGGGTTCTCGTCAAACGAAACGGCCTCTCGACGCGGTTACGTCTGGATTCGAATGAGATTGCGAGCCAAAAGGACTCTGCTTTCCACAGTGTCACTCCCCGGGAACCAGGGACCACGCGAGAACCATTATCGCGAAGTCTTGGCCGCCGCTGAGAGACACACCCGCTGCCATCTGTCTGGCCCATGCGGCAACGGCCGTAATGTCAAGCAAGCTAGTGGAATACTACAATATTCAATCACCCCAGAGTTCAGCATGGTGCCTAGTACGACGATAGGCAATATTGCTCTCCAGGCGCAATCTTGTCGGAAGGCACGATGCCACCCAACAGCAGTAGTCTTTCAACGAGTCTTTGCTGCTGCCCTGGTCTGCCTCGCGCCTGAGACGAGCGGACGAGCAGGTGGTCACGAGGGACCGCCCCAAATGGCTGGAACAACAGCAACATGCGGCCATCTAGAAGCCAGACTTTGAGCCACAATGGAAGGAGGCACAAATGAAAAGTATGGCGAAGCCTCGAGCTTGCGACTAGCTCGGTGTCTCACGACGCTTGGTGGCAGCAGAGAGTGAAGACTGAGAAGAATCCAATATCCACCACCAGCACAACCCGGGACCTGTCGGCCGCACATACGTTTCCCAAGGGGCCGGTTGCACCAAGATCAAGTCTCGGACGGGGCCACGAGCCATTGTGGCCATCGACTGGACGAAATACGCCTCCAGAGAGCGGTGCCGTGTTGCGCAGGCCTAGCGCATTGGTGCTATCACCGATTGACTCTGGGACCTTCCCAACGTCTGAACTCTGACCAAGCCAACCAACCCAGCGAGCCGGATTGGCATGGCATCACAGACAAGAGACTCAGTTGCTGTTGACTGGTGAAACTCTGTTCGGGAACCGTGGCCATGGGCTCTCGGCCACGACGTTCTGTCTAGAACCACTGTCTGTGTCTACGGACTGAGATGCTCGATGCAGACCTTGGGCCGGCCGCTCGCTGTCTCTGCCAGTCGGACATGTGCGATGCAAGCTTCCTCGCTCACCCAGGCGTTTAGGGTTCGATAGAATCTGAGTTGGCTTGTTGCTGCCGTCTCGGGACGCTGCGATGCGAACAAGATGCTGACACGCAGCGTCATCCAACCCGGAATGCAGGGCCAGTGACGTTTATTGGCTGGCGAGACTGACAGCTGCGCAGAATCTCTCCGTCCGTACAGCGACCCAATGCCCTCGCGAGGAAGCACAGCCAGAATTGTGCTCTCTGCGACGACTGTGAAGACTGGTAAGTGGGAAGCTAGGGGGGACGGATAAGGCCGGGCTGTGCACACCAACAACTCGGCGGCGGCCGTGGCTCTTGCACCTGGGTGCTGCCATATTCTGCCAGCGTGGGGAGAGAAGGGGTTCCGGTGATTGGCCGCCCCGAGTTGCTAAATCGCGATGGGAGCGCAGCACAGCACAAGCGCAGTCAATGTGCAGTGTGTGTGTGTGTGTGTGTGTGTGAATAAAAATATCCCCTTGGGACTGCAGCAGTAAGCAACGCAACCTTTACCGCCGTGCCGCCAGAGCCTCCACAAAGCCGAATGCTTGGTTTTTCCTATTTCACATGACGAACCACTTTCGGAAAGGTTTATGCCTTTTTGAGGACGACGCACGCAGCAACCAGTTCAGAATAGGACCTCTACGAATACACACTCACACCAGCCGCGCGACTGTCCACTGGCGCTAGCAAGAATATGGTCATCTTTATCGAAAGGGGGGCTGTGGTTGTTGAGCGCAAGCTTTCTGGAGAGCATCATCATCCCATCGCATCATGCAGAAGACGGACGACCGATGTGCCTGCCTCATGCCCAATATTCTGGGTTTTCTTTTTTGGGCGCTCACGTTGCTTTACCGCCATCATAACAGCATATGCAGGACATCGCATGTCCCGCATCGGTCCTGGAAATTTATGACTGGGTTTTACGAGGTCGTCGATGCGAGGAGTCGAAAAAGAGGACAGGAAAAAGAAAGTTTCGATTAGGCAGGACTCCAGGCGGCAGACTTTTGGCCCTGGGGCAGACCCGTCCACAATGCTACCTACACGTTGGCAAGTGAAGATCCAATATAGCACGTTGCTGATGAGCAGGAAGCCAAGAAACGTCCAGGAGTAGGCGCAAACGGCAAGTCTCTGGTCTGCCGGTGCTGTGCCGTGCAAAGGACATCGACTGGTTCCGGCGACATTGTCACGGATTACGGGCCTGATAGGCTTCATCACCACCACTGCATTCAATCCAATCCCATCCCTCACAAACCTCAGAGCAGGCTCGGCATCCCGCGGCGGAGAGCGACGTGCCGGGCCTCCATCTGACTGGCAGGGATCCCTCCTGAGGTACGTAACCGCAGATGAAGAAGACACTGGTCCAGCAAGGCCGTGTGCAGGTCAAGTCAGGTCGCCATTTGGGCAAGGTTTGTACAGTACTCCCCCCCCCCCCCCCCCCGCTCATTTGGCCCTCCTCCCCTCCCTGCTGGAGGTCCTGTCCTCACGTTTAGTGAAGGGCCTGTCCCGCCAGGGGGCTCACGCCAAAAGAGAGAAAGAGAGCGAGACAAGGGTCTGGACACAACTTGCCTACCTTGGAGCCACCCACCTGCACCCACCAGCCAAAGTATCCTGTACCAGGTTTCTTTGTGCCAGGGGCGTCCAAAGGCCCAAGCTGCTGGGGTCTGGCGGGCATTGCTGGCTGTCATCCAAGGGGCGCTTGGTGCCTGTTGTGCTGCGTGGTAGTGGGCGTGTGGCCTTTTAGTGGGAGGCCACCAGCCAGCCATGCGAGGTATCGAGTACCGCTGACCGCCGTGCGGAACCAGGAAACTGGATGACTCGCTTTCCGGGCCCAGTTGGCACTTGAAGGGTTCCTTTTCTCTGGACTACTTGCTGTCTGTCTCTGTCGCACACCACCGCGGCAGACGGGTCAGAGGCACGACGGATAGAAATGAGAGACCGGTTCAGAGACAGATCTTGGTATCCCGCATCGCTGGCAGAGACAACGAGCAGCAGGAGTGCATGTTGCAGGCAACCCGCACGCCCTTCCCTGGAAGACAGACAGTACATAATCGAAGACCGAGTCTGGAATGGGACCTGTTTCGTGGCTCTGGTACCCGGCGTCGATGCCAGTACCCGACCAAGTCGAGCCGGGCTAGGCCCATTTTCGTGCGTATCTGGGTGCTAAATGAGGTATTCATGAAGCAGAGCGCACAAGATATCAAAGTAGACGAAGACAGGGTATGAGGAGGACGGACGGGCAGGAACAACAAGAACGAACTACGAAAAAGCCACCACTATCCTCACCCACACCCGCACGTCCAGTGCACACCCATGTCGACAACACACACACGCGCACACCCACCTCGGTCTCTGTGCCTCTCTCGCACCCCCCTTGCCCATCCACACACACTCGCACCCCACCCCTGACCCCTGCTGCTTGTACCGCCTCTCTTGCTGGTGCCGCTGCTTGCTTGCTTGTTGCTCTGCCCTACGAGTTCCTAGTGCAGGCCCTCCTCCCTCCGCCCCCTGGACGCCGGGTAGAGGCACTGCGTGGAGGGGAGGACGATCCGCGTCCACCGGGTCCCAAGTCAAGTCCCCAAGTCTCCCCAAGGGCCATCAACAAGCAAGCCGTGGCTGTCGTCGACCCATGTGCCCCCCGGTCTGTAAGTTGTGCGTATGTCTCTCTCTGTGCCCTCTGTCGGTATATACCAGGCGTGGCTTCGTGGCCGGTCTATATCAGTCGTGGGCCCCCAAGGCCTCTCCAAGATCGTTTCCCGCCCCCATCGGTCTTCATCTCTACAAGTCCCAGATCTTCGGCTCAAAAAATCCTCAAAGCCAACGACAGTCCTGTCTCTCACAGCGTGACAAGACATATATCACAGTCCACTCTCGCTCCAAGACAGCAACAGCAGCATCACCAAGGAGAGGCCGGGCACACAGCATCGTCCATCACACGGGAGCCAACTCGACCAAGAGCGTTATTAGACCAACCGGCTGCCTCACTGTGCCGTCTACAACACTTCTTCTCTGCACCTTGGAACCAACAAACATCATCGGGTTCTCCTGCCACTTACACGACTCTTTCGCTCGCGGCATCGGTACCTCACACGCGGAAACGCCGCGGGCATGAACATCGCTGCAGGTGCGCTTCCTCGGCCCCACTTGAAAGCAGGCGCAGCAGCACAGCACAGCGCAGCGCGCAGCACCCTCAACTCAGTGTTCGTTCAGTGTCAACTAACAAGAGGGCGAGCAGCAGAGTGACGTGACGGCATAACTCACTGTGTGGCTTTGCTTCGGCCAACGCGACAGCACCTTGAACCCAACCAACGACCAACAACTCTATAAACAACACCAGCAGTCAGTCTGCGGACTTGACCGGCCACTCACAACTCCAACAACAAGAACGACATCACCCGCAACAATGGTCTCGATAGATCAGTCATATAACATGCTCCCCAAGCACCTGAGCTCCGAGCACGACGACTACATCCTCTACCCCGAGCCGCCCCAAGCAGTCTTCACCACCGCCCCCATGGAGATGACCATCCCTGCCAACGCCTCTTACATGTTCCCTACCTCCATGCCCATGGAGGCTTCTCCCGTCTACGAAAACAACTTCATCTACCAGGGACGCACCTCACCGAGCCTCTACGAGGACGGCGACTTCCAATTGCCCTCCTCCAACCTCTCCACCACATCGGCGCCCTCGGCGGCCTCATCCAACGTGGGCTCGCCGCAGTCACATCACGACCAGCCGGCGCCGGTGCCTGAATGGGCGCACCCCGGCATCGCTGTCACCCCGGGCATTGTGCCCCACGACTACTACAACACCACGGGTACTGAGTACTCTACCTACGCCGGCTCAGGTATGGAAGACTTTGCAGCTTTCGACTTTGTCAACACAAAGCCCCCGGGTTTCGTGGGTGAGTTGCAGAACGTCTCTAGAACCTCTCATTTCGCAGCCCCTCACCGGGTTTCCTTTTCTCCTTCTTCTTCTCCTTCTGCTGCTTCTGCTCGCGAGACCGCCGCCGCGGATACCCGGCTGTCTTCGTCGCCCGAGTCTCCCGCGTCGCGCAAGTCCAGCGCGACCGCGGCCTTTGCGTCTCCCTCTACTTCTTTCTCTTCTCCTCCAGCGCCGGCTTGGAGCAATTCGCCAAAGACGCCGCGGGTTTCTACTTTTTTCTCTCAGAGCAGTGGCCACTTCGTCGCCCCTCTTGGTTCTTCTTGTTGGTTTTCCTCTGTCAAAACGCGCCATCCCTGCCGACGACTCAGTGCTAACCAGCCATTCCCTTCAGACCCTTCCCTCATCCACCCCGACATCAGCCGCCCAATGCCGATGCCGGGTTTCGATCCCAACTTCCACCACCCTCAGTATCCCGCCTCGCCCGCCCTGTCCGCTTCATCCCAATCCATGGTCCGCAACGGCAGCCAATCGCCTTTCATGCACAGCGGCTTCCAGCAGCAGTTCAGCCCCTACGCCACACCGGCCGACGCCCGCCGCCCCAGCCTCCACTCGTTCCCCTCCAACTATTCCGATGGCAACGGCTACAGCGGCGACGAGTCCAAGGAGAAGCAGCGATGCCCGCACCCCGAATGCGGCAAAACCTTCAAGGACCTGAAGGCGCACATGCTCACCCACCAGAATGAGCGCCCAGAGAAGTGCCCGATCGTGACGTGCGACTATCACGTCAAGGGCTTCGCCCGCAAGTACGACAAGAACCGCCACACCCTCACGCACTACAAGGGCACCATGGTGTGCGGCTTCTGCCCCGGGTCGGGGTCCGCGGCCGAGAAGTCGTTCAACCGCGCCGACGTCTTCAAGCGACACCTGACGGCCGTCCACGGCGTCGAGCAGACGCCGCCCAACAGCCGCAAGAAGAGCACGGCCGCCAGCAGCGGCAAGAAGCTCGCCGGCTACCCTCCCGACGCCACCGGCAAGTGCTCGACGTGCTCGCAGACCTTCTCCAACGCCCAAGACTTTTACGAGCACTTGGACGACTGCGTGCTGCGCATCGTGCAGCAGGAGGACCCCGCCGAGGCCATCAACGCCAAGCGCCTCGCCGAGGTCGAGAACGACAAGGACGTGCACCAGACCCTGGAGAAGAACCACCTCCCCACGCAGACGCAGATGCCGTCCACCGAGGAGGACGAAGACGAAGACATGGACGACGAGGACGACGAGGACAGCAAGCACCGCTTCAACTCGCCAACGAAGCGAAAGGGCAACCCCGTCAACGGCGTCCAAAAGTCGCGCGGCCTCACCCACTCCCGCGGCGGCGGCCCCATGCCCGTCAAGGCCAAGGGTCGCAAGAACCGCCGCGACTACCCCTCGTCATGGGGCTTCGACAAGGGCCAGATGACGATGAAGAAGCGTGTCATGGCCGTCTTTGACGGCCCCCGCCGCCTGGCCAAGGACGACATGATGCTCTCCACGGACCACGAGGTACGCATTAAGCTGGCGGACGGCAACAACTACGTGACGGACCTGGACGTGCAAACCCTCAAGCGCGCCGAGGGCTTCCTCGGGGCCACTGACGACGAGAAGGGCCCGTGGATCTCTGACGACCCCACCGAGGAGCAGCTCAGGGAGATGCAGGCTGTTCTTGAGAGCTTTGAACAGTAATGGAAGGCGGCGGAGGCATTGAAGTCATCAATATCTGTTCAGCATGCGGTACTATATCACGGAGCGGGAGGGCGGCGGAGGAATCTGTTAGAAGCATGGCTGGCGCACGCTTGTATGGATTTACGACTGGATTACGAAGAGGAAATCTGGTACGAGGACTCATGATTGGATGGCTTGGTTTACACCGCAAAAGGTGCTTTGGTTGATACCCTAACTCTTAAGAATTCTTGTCACGATCAAGACAATCTTTTCATCATCACTACGCGTTCTCGTCGCCATTGGAGTGAAATGTGTCTACTGCCGCCACTTGGGGTGGACATGGTGATGAACACGATGCCGTGGACCCTGGCGACGAACTATGACCCCATTTAGGCATGTAGACGACGGCCGTATCCTCAGTGCAATAAGCCAGTGCCAGGCAGCCATGATACCTGAAACATTCGACCCGCACGCTGCCCTGGTCGGCAGCCAGGTCACGGGGATGTATTCGTGATTGGGGCAGGCCTGGCCCTGGCGTCGGAGAGGAAACGTGAGACCGGGGCAGGGGAGATGGGAATGACTTCATCAAGCCGAATTGTGGTCGGGATCTGGGCTGGACCGGGAGGGAGGCCTGTGGAGATGACCCGTCGGGTCCAAGATCGAAAATAGCCCACCATGCATGCGCAGTGAGGTATCCAATGTTTTTTTTGTGTGGTGGGTGACAGCAGGCACAGCACGTTGTTGGTGTGTGCAGGGAGGCAATAATGCAGTTTTCCGGGTGCGAATTGGCGGGAGCGGGTGCGAGGCACAGCACAGCCATCCGGTCTGACCGAATTGTGCCCAGTCGGATCGCGCTGTGAAGAGAAGTGGAGGCCCAGGAGCTTATCTAAGGTAATTCTTCCTCCAGGGATATACACCGCCGATGCACCGGAGACCACCTCACCCAAAGTCGTCAGCGGGGTCCCAGGTCCCGGGGCGGTGCACCGCAGTCCTCTGCAGATGCCCTGCAGGTGCGAAAGAAACAGCGGCATGGCTCTGTGGCTGTGGAGCGGCAGCATCCGCCTGGCGACCCACCGAAACAGGCACCTCGACCCGACGCTTTCGGGTCCGAGTCGGGAGTTGAGGCTCTTCCACTGCCTGGCCATATCATGCGCTGTATTTGCGAGGATGACAGGCCTAAGCCCCCTGTATTTATGCCGTCTTGCGGCTCAATCGCACCCCGGGTTCTTGCCTACCCGCCCTGAGCTGTGGCAGTGTTTCCGCTGCCACTGCGCTGACAGCCGCCGCCTGTGGAAACGCTCTCCAGCAACTGCCTGCCTGCCTGTCTTCCATGTGCCTTCCATGTGTCTTCCAAAATAACTCACTTTGCACGCAACGCAGGGCATGCTTGCCGCCGGCGGGGCACAGTGACATTTCGTCGTGGTCGTTCGCTGCCACTGCCCCTCCCCCTCCATTAACGCAAGCGACAAATTTTCCCATCCAGGCGTCCGCCCACGTTGCGTAACTTTTGCCTACCTTGCCTCCAAGTTTCTTTCGCTTGCGCAACCCGAGTTCCCTGAATCGCCCGCGCTGCACGAAGACTGCCGGTGCTCGTTCTCGTCATCGCAATCGCAACTGCCCGGCCCACTCTCCTGGCCTCGGTCCTCACCCGCCGCTCCGCCTCCCCCGCGTCCTCCCGCCCTCGTCCCGTCTGGGCTCGCAGCATCCCGCTCGGTGCGTCGGTAGCCAAGCCCTGCCTCGCGGCCGCCGCCTCGAGTCCTCTCTTCCCTGCAACCCCGGCGCTCTTACGTCCCCCATCAGCCATGGCGCTCACGTCCCGCATCTCCCTCGTCGGCCCGCCCGCCGAGTCCCCCGAGGACTTTCTCATCAGCTCCCTGGGCGTCATCTTCCCCGACGACGTCACCAACCAGCACGGAGACGCCGACCACGGCATCGAGTACGCCTCCCCGCACCTGCGCAAGCCGCTGCGTTTCGACCTCGCCGAGCCCAGCGCCGACGACGACCGGAAGCTGTTCAGCCACTACCTGTGGAACGCGAGCCTCCAGCTGGGCGAGTTTGTCGAGGCTGGCACCCTCGGTTTGGACACCGTCAAGATCGATCTCGGCCCGCCCGTGTCGCATTTCAATGTCCGCGGCTTGACCACCGTCGAGTTCGGAGCCGGCACCGCCCTGCCGAGCATCATGTCCGCGTTGCTGGGCGCCGTCCGTACCGCCGTGACCGACTACCCCGCCCCCGCCGTGCTCAAGACGCTCCGTGCCAACGCCGCCCGGAACATTGACGCCTCCGTCTCCCCCACCGGCGCCCTCACGGCGGAAGAAGTCGTGGTCGAGGGCCATTCCTGGGGTGAGCTGGACGACCCCTTCTCCGTCGCCAACAAGCACGCCTTCGACCGGGTCTTTGTTGCCGACTGCCTGTGGATGCCGTGGCAGCACGCAAACCTGCACAAGTCCGTCGCCTGGTTCCTCCGGGACGGGCCCGACGCCCGCTGCTGGGTCGTTGCCGGCTTTCACACGGGCCGGCCCAAGATGCGCGGCTTCTTCGACGAGGCGGCGCTGACCGAGGCCGGGCTGGAGATCGAGCGCATCTGGGAGCGAGACTGCGACGGCGTGGAGCGGGAGTGGGTGTGGGATCGCGGTATCGAAGACGTGACCATCCGGAAGCGCTGGCTGGTGTGCGGTATCTTGAGGCGAAAGGTCTAGAAAATCAGACTGCGGTGCGTCAAGTGCATGACCCCTTCGCTTATATTCTCTCTGCCCTCAAGAATCACCCAAGGCCAAGGCACGCGCGCACACCTCTCACCTCAGCTGAGCACGATTTCTCGGGGGAACTTTTGCTCTCGCAAGGTCAAGCGCCCGCACCATGACGGCTAGCTTCCTCGCAGAGCCCGTATCGTGCCCGAGCTGGCCCCGGTGCGGCTGAGCTGGAACCCGCCCCTTTCAGCTGCAATGGGCGCGCGTGCCGCTCCCGATTGGCCCCCTCGTTTCCAGGTGGCTTGACCCAACGATGTACTGGGCCCTTTTGGTCGAAACATGGCTCACCTCTGCTGCTGTGTGTGCTCTGCCGTGTAAGTAAGCAGTTTGGGGACAGATACCAACAAGGCCAAGGTATTTGAGTATTTTGAGTATTTGAGTATCGTGGTGGGCTACGGCCGAATCGGGCTCGCGGTCGGTCGCCAACAGACAAAGCGCCACTACCCATCTGACATGGAATCTTTAAACCTCGATTCGGTTCTCAAGTGCGCTCGCATCCCCTTTTCGCTGTCGACGTGGTGATTCTTTTCTGTGCATATGTGTGTGCATCCATCCGTGCCGGTATCTGCCGTCGTTCCGAACTGCCGTCTAGGCCAAGCTCAACGCATTCTTCCTTTGCGGCTCCGTCATGTCCGCAACTCAGCCGCGCCCACTTACACGATTGACATTCTGGAGGTGAGAGTTGCGAGACACGTGCGTCATCAGATCACTAAGCCGGTCTGCAAGACCAAATACTAGGAGCTGTAATAGGCGAGCTACGCAAACTACGTATAAATATGTCTTGCTCGTCTCGATATGGCATGTCATGCCAACCGCTGGTGGCCTGAGAATGGGCGGAGGCGGTGCGTCGCGGGCCTTGGTTGAACGTACTGACAGAAACGGCTGGACAACTGCCTGTCCGGATGATGAGCATTTTTACCATGCCGGCATGTGTCTCACGACGAACAGTCAGGCCACCCGCCGCATCCGTGGCCGGAGCGGACGGGCCCGACGGCTGTCGTCAACCAGGCACGCCATGGCGCGCTTTCGTGTATACCATACGGGACCGAGCCCTGTTCTCAATAGCATTGTGTCGCTTGCTACAATTGTGTCTAAATGCCAAACTATGTACACGGCACGCTAATTCGGCGCCTCTATCGATGGTCCCTTCTCGTCCACCCTGACGATTAGATCGTGGTTCACGCGGAGGTTCTCCGCGGAGCTGAGCGCCTTGGTCACGGTCGTCTCGTGCCGTTCCTGCGTGATGCGGCGCAGCGCCGTGACGAGGAAGCCGGCGACGACGTCGACGGACCACTCGTCCGGGATGAGGGCCAGCACGTCTTCCACGTCGAACCAGCCGCCGAAGCGCTCGAGCAGCGCGCCCGTCTGCTCGATCTGGTCGCTGACGTCTTCAATCGCGAGGAACTCGCCCAGCACCGCGCGGAAGAGCCGCGCCTGCATGTCGTGGGTCGGCGTGCTCTCCCGCCTGCCGTCGGGACGCCTGTAAATGTTGGAGCCGCCGCGCAGACAGTACGAGACGGCCGTGTCGTAGTCCCCGAGCTTGTGCACCAGCAGCCGGATGGCGTCTTCGTGCCGCTGCTCACGCCCGTCCAGTATGATGGTCTCGGGGACGAGGAGCTCGTCTGGAAGGGCTGCGATGCGCTCCCTGATGGCTGCGGCGTCGTACTGGTGGGCCTCTCCGAGCAGGTGCAGCAGCCGCAGGCGGCTGTGCCAGACCTCGTTGTCCTCCGGCGCGTTATCCGTGAGAAACTGCCGATAGGTCGGCTTGGGCGCCTGCAGCGCTCTGTACGCTGTGTATGTGCCGGCAAAGGCCTCTCGGCTTTCCGGGAACGACTCGAGATCGCTTATGACAATGTCCAGGTAGTATGCTATGAGATCGTTCACGTATTCTGTATGCCCCTTGCCGAAGACGAGATGCTCGAGGTAGTACTTGACCGCGTCGGGTGCCTCTTCGCGCAGGATCTCCACGACATGCGCTGGCTCAAACTTGGCTGCCTTGCCCTTGTCCTCGGCGAATACCTGCACGCCCAGCTTGGGATTGCGGCTGGCAAGCCACACGCCATACTCGCGGACGAGGGCCTGGCTGCTGATCTTCGTGAGGTACTCGCGGACGCGCTGCTCGCCGTCGCTCAGCTCCCCGCCGTCGTCCCGCTCGCCCTCGACGATGCGGCGCCACGTCGCGAGCACGTCGCCCGCCATCTTCCGGCTCTGGTACAGTCGGCTGAGCACGAAAAGGCGGTGGTAAGTCTCTAGGAGCCCGGCCGCCCGATCGAAGCAGTCTACGCCCTTGTCGACGACGTCGTACAGCTCCGACCTCACGGAGGAACTCTTCTTCGCCAGCCCCTTGGGAGACTTTTGGTCCAGCTCGAGAAGCACCAGCAAAAGAGCGGCGTCGACTGTCCGGAAGACTTCGCTCTCGTCGGCGACGCTGCCGAAGCCCTTCTTCTTTCTCCATGCCGCCAAAAAGCGCCGCAGAAACTGCATGACCTTGGTGTCGAGGTCACTGACCGAATGGCTCGCCTTCTGGAAGTGCTCGCTCTCCAGGTAGTTTTCTGTCGTCTTCTTCACCCCGCCAAAGATCCAAATGCCCCTCCGGCTCTCGACGATCTCGTTACGCAGGCCGGGGACCAGGGAGAGGACCACGCGCGGGTCGAGGCTGCTGTCCACAAGGACCTCCTCCAGCGCCTTCAGCTCGCCGTCCGAGAACGGAGCCTCCGCCGCGTGAAGGAGGCTCGTCAAGAGCAGAACGCCGGCGCGCTGTCGCAGGTAGCTGAACGTCACGAATTCCAACTCTGACTTGGCGTCCTGGCCCCGGAAGGAGTTGAGGACCGTGAACACTGCATGTCGGTCGAGCTTGGCGGGGTTGAAAGCGCCGTCCTGTGCGCAAGCAGCTTCGAGCCTGGCTTCGAGCCGCAGCAGCAAGGGGTTACGAACGGCCCACCAGATGTGGTTGCCCGACCAGACTGCGATTTTCGAGTTGGCGTCGGCCAGGCGTCTTGCGAATTCTCGTTCTTCTGCGTTCCTGCTTTCCTCCCACCCTTCCGGCAGGGCGTCTTCGTCCTGCGATGCAGAGTCGAACAGCTCCCGCTCCTTGGTCATCCGCTCCAAGGACGAAGCAGTGCGTGCATCTGCACTCCGCGGGGAGAATATCGGGTTTTCTAGCCCGCCCCCGGAAAAGGGCGAGAACTTTCTCTGGCACAGCCGGTCGACAATCTCCTCAAAGTGCGTTTCCTCCACGCCCATGAGGGATCTGATGCCCAGGGGCGTCGTGGCGTCCGTGTCTGGCGAGTCTATCTCGAGCCACCATTTTGACGCCGTCGGCTCTGTGCCATCAGAGTCCCACCGCTGGATTTCCAGCCCGTGACGCAGGCCCGTATCGAAATCCTTCGTCATGGACGCGATGACATAGCCTTCTTCCTCGTCCGCGATTGCCATTTTGGACGACGACATGTCTGACGACCCGCCGTCTACTACGACCTCCCTCGGATACCTGTCAAATTCGACGGTCGGCCTCGTAGGATCGCCGTCGAGGTTCACAAACATGCCGATGCCGGGATCAAGAGGCCCGGTGCCGGTGACAAGTAGAAACTCCTCTGCCGTTGGCGAGACGATGTGTGGCTTGAGGAACACCGGCGTCGGCTTGGTCGGAGACGTTTGGGCCCCTGGCGCAGCAGGCAGTGGCTTGTCTGTCGACGGCGGGGGCACCTGGGCCTCGTCGGAAGGCCTTGGACTGGTCGAGGGGGTCGGTGGCGATGATCCCTGGAGCACGCGATCTACCGCCCCTTGCGGACTCTGGTCACGGCGTCCGCTGAGGAGGCCACCCAGGCTCGTGCTTCTTGCATGTCCATGGGGGTCTCCAGCGGACAGGAGCGGTCGGTTCTGAGCCGCAGATACGCTCCTCAGAATGCCTCCGTCAGCGCTGCCAGCGATGTCCTGGGCTTGGCCAATCTCCCCCGCCGGCTGGGAATCATCCAAGGACGATATAGTCATCAACGGAATGCGAAGCTGTCTGTCGACGTCCAGCAGGGAGTAACTCCTGGCGTCCGCCACGCATGCAATAGAATCTCTGCGAACCGATATCGTCGTTCCGGGCACGTCGATATTCTACGCTGCGGTCAGTCGTGGTCGCGTGAGATGGAGGGCATGATTACCTTGACGGCCCTGGCGACCTCGCCTATTTTAACGACTTGAATTCTCCGGTTCAACGACAGGAGGATAAACACGCCCGCGGTTGGGTCGCCATCGTCATCCTGGGGCTGGTTCAAGTCCACGCCGCCAACCCAATTGCAGTTCTTGACCTGGGTGGTGCCGAATACCGGGCTCAGCTCGGGGAGCGAGTAAAACGTGACGGTCGAGTTGCAAAGGATGCAGGCCTTTCCGACCTTGGGCAGCAGCAGGATCTGCTGCACACCTGGGCGAGAATTGCTAGACTCTGCAAACGCCGGCCGCAGCCTCGAAGCGAGTATAAAGGCAGGTCGTCCGGCTGGGTCGGCGGGGTCGGGAGGGATCTGGACAAAGTGAAGCAATTCGGATGCGCTCGTGCCGACGTAAAGGTTATGATCTAGAAGTGTCAGTGAAGGCCAATCCGAGACAGCACAAGAGCCTCACCTAGGTAGTCAACGCAATTGATCTTGACGCCCTCGCCTGGGCCGTCTGCAGACAGGGGCACCTCCTCCATCAGCGTGCGCAAGACAAAGGGTCCCTCATTGCGGGCCATCGCATCGGAGCTCCCAGACGCAGACGAGCGCTGGTCGTCTGGATCTTCGGAGGTCATGGTCTGTCGCTTGTGCAGTCATCGGGGATGCTACGCCATCGTCTGCTGTTGCCCTTGCGCGGAGTCGAGGTCGTTATGCGATTGATGTTGTACGGATGCTGTTGCGTTGCGTTGAGGCTGGCAAGCTCCAGCGTGGAAAGCTGCTTGGTTGCTGGCGGGTGGGTGACACCAGGTTCAGGCTTCCAAGTGCTCCAATCCATAGCTCCCCTCTGTTACGTAGGGCCCTACGTAGGCAGCCCGTTCTCTAGCGTCTTAGTGGACTCATGCACCATGTTGCCGGCCTACCGGCGCAACCTAGCATGTGCGGCGCGCGCCTGGGGGTGGCTCCGCAGCCACGATGATCAACTGGCTGCCTGTGCGCCCCTGGAAACCGCCTGCATCCCACTGATTGGTTGCCTGGAAAGGGAACACGTTCTCGAACTCTGAGCTCAGCCGAAACACAACCACTCGAACGCAAGCTCAACAGCTCACGACTCCGACCCGGGAGTCAGTCTTCAGCGTCTCTCTTGATGAAGTGATGAATTGAACCATCGACCGCCACAGACACCAACGCAGACATGGCAGACCTCGTCGAATCAGTCCTGGCCGCCGACGCCAACGCCCAGCATGCCGAAAAGCCGGGTCCAGCTATCCCGGACGGGGGAAACAAGTTCCAACAGGCCATCTCAGCCTGGAGAAGTAAGAAGGAGCTTGTCCGCCGTGTGGGATTCGTTTGACTAACCCAGACAGCCATTGACTACACAAACCTCATTTCGAACCTCGACAATACCGCCTCCGAGATTGTCGCATACCAGAGGGATTCGACCGTCCAGCGAAAGGAGCTAGCTCAGAAGACGAAGGACTTTAGAAAGCTCGACGATGCCACGAAACTGTCCGAGATCAAGGGCCTCTTAAAGGGTGCGTGTTTCGCCCCAGCGTAGCGACGTTTGCTGACTGTCGCAGCCTACCAAACCTTCATCGACCTCCTGACGAACCACTCCAAGTCGATCAACTCCGCCTTCCTGCAAGCCTACACGTCTCTATCCGATGCCCCCGACCCTTACCCGCTGCTCGAGGCCTCCGTCGACTCTATGCTCGTCTCCGAAGACACACTGCCGAAGCTCACCGAAGAGAACCAGCACCTGCAGAAGTCCGTTGCAAAGCTGACGACACAGCTGGAGGAGACGGAGTCGAAGCTGCAAACCGAGTCCGCGGCGAAGAAGGAGCTCGAAAGCAGTCTGGAGAGCAGGGTCAAGGAGGTTGAGGCTTCCTGGGTTGCTGTTCTCGATGAAAAGAAGGACAACTGGGCGTCCAAGGAGAAGACGCTGGAGGAGAAGGTCGAGAACCAGGAACGCCTGCTCAACGAGATCAAGGCGAGCTACGAGGTCAACCAGCGACTGGGCAAGACGGACGACGGCGACCAAGAGGGACAGGCCCACGTCACCAGCGCCGAGATTGAGATGCTGCACTCTGACTTGGACCGGACGAGCGCGCGCCTGGCAGAGATCGAGGCGCGAAACGAGCAGCTGCGGCTGGAGCTGGCACAAGCAAAGTCGTCCGTGCCATCGCAAGCCCCTGTGGCTTTGGAGGACGACCCAGGATACATGCGCATGCGGTCCGAGAACTCGTCCCTCATCCGAAAGCTCGACGCGGCCCGGGTCGAGAAGGAGGGACTCAAGCGTGACCTTGACAGCAGGCTGCGCGGCCTGGAGAGGGAGGTTGGTTTGCTCAAGGAGGAGCGCGACAACCTCAGGGCCAAGGTGCAGAAATGGAGCGACTACGACGACGTGAAGCAAGAGCTCGAAGTGCTCAAAAGCATCGAGTTCTCCACGGGCGACGATGACGATGTGCGAGAGGCTACCGAGAGTGCCGCCGAGGCCAAGAGCCAAGGCGACACGCTTGAGAAGCTGCTGCTGGCGCGTAATAAGAAGCTTGGCGACGAACTCACCATTCTACGCGTCTCCCACCAGGACCTCCAGACAAAGCTGTCCGAGCTGCAGGAGGAGATGTCCAGGACCAACATGGACCTGGAAAAGTCGCAGCAGCTGAACGAGCGGCTCGAGAACGACCTGGCGACGCTGCAGTCGGAGTCCTCAAATGCCTTCCCATCAGGCGCATCCGTAGCCGGCACCTTCAACCGGTACGCACCGTCCGTCGCGCCGGGGCGGAGGCCTGTCGGAGGAAGGGTGTCGCCCACGTCGTCAATCATCAGCGGCATCAACCCTCGCACGGTTGGCGAGGAACCGATGGGCGGTGGCTCAGGTATCCTGCCGATGATCACTGCGCAGCGCGACCGGTTCAAGAAGAGGATCGCCCAACTAGAGGGGGAGCTATCCGAGAGCCACCGCACCATCTCGCAACTGCGACAGGAGGTGTCAGCCCTGCAGAAGGACAACCTCAATCTGTATGAGAAGACGAGATACGTGTCGACGTACAACCGCGCCGGCCCGTCGGCGTCGTCGTCCTCGGCGGCATACTCGTCAAATCCCAACCCGTCGACGGTATCGATTGGCGGGACCGGAAACCCAGGCATCACGATGGACAGGTACCGCAAGGCGTACGAATCGAACATCTCGCCGTTTGCCGCCTTCCGAGGGCGCGAGTCGGCCAGGGCATACAAGCGAATGAGCTTCCCGGAGCGCGTGGTGTACTCGGTGACGCGGATGGTCTTGGCCTCGCGGACGAGCAGAAATCTATTTGCGGCGTACTGTGTCGCATTGCACCTCCTTGTCTTCTGTTCTCTATACTGGCTCGGCACGGTCGACGTGGAGAAGCACGCCAGCAACCTGGGCAAGTCGGCAGCAGCAGCCGCCGCAGCGGGCGCCGGCGGCGTCCATGGGGCCGGCGACGGTCACGGCGACTGGCACGAAGATGGGTTCAACGGGCACTAGCCTCAGGAGGCTGGTAACGGCAAGGTCCGTGACGCGGCCGGCCTGTACGCACTGTTTTGATATTGCATTTGGACGATTGGGCGGCGTCTGGCTATGTACGGATATGAATGTGGCATTAGTGAGATCTCATCAATACAGACAGATACCAGATCACGTGATACCCAGGAACGGCACCGTCCGCCAAGATGCGAGATCTTTTGGACAAGTACCGGGCATCGACCGCTCGTGGCTCTCCACCAAGCAGTTCTATTCTTATCGAGTTGTCTCTCCAGGCCTGCCACCCGATGTTAAAAAGCGGCACGCCATTCGACCAAGGCTGTTGGCGCTGGCCCGTCTCCGCAGCCCAAATGGGGTCTCTGCCCGCAGCCAATGAGCCGGCGACAACAGCGTAGTCTGGCGCGGCAAACGCATGTACAAGAGCGGATACCTGCATCGTGGGCGCGTCGCCGGGGAGAAGACGGGTACAAGGTCGTACCGTTCCTGGCAATTTCGACGGGCCTATGGGAGTCGAGTCTTGACGCGGTGTGCTATTTCGGTCTGTAGCCGCCCTGTTCGCGAGAGCCGTTTACCGGGCCGTCTTGTGGCAGCTGAAGATGGGGATCGCGGGTCGCAGACGAAGACGGGGTTGTAGACTGGGGCGACGAGGGGCTCCGAGATGGACGGATGTGCCTTCGTCGCAGCCATCACCGGTCGAATCTCTTCCTTCGATCGCGGCATGTTTATCGTGGTTTCTCAAGCCCGCGGAGACGTGGCCCCGCTGCTCAAGAACTTCGACCAAACCTTTGGGCGGGCCGGGCGCTTGCATCTGGAAGACCCCGGCGGAGATCGCTGACCAGCTACCCTCCACTCCGACATTACGTGCATCCCGCCCTCCACTCCATTCGCTCTCGTTCAACTTCCCGCCCTGGCTCGTTTGCTATTCTGCCGTCGTACGGTTGCATGGCAGGGCGGCTGCCAGTCTTGGTCTCTGGCTCCTGCGAATACCCACGCGTTGCCTTGCACAGCACAGCGGCTGACCCTGGCCCCCCTCCCCGCCATCTTTTCCGAACCGCAAGACTATGCCGGTCTGGGCAGGTCGGTCCCTGCCAAAATGGAGAGCGGCCAGTCGCTCTGTTTGCCGCCAGAGAGATGGTTCATGGTGTTGTGGTATATTAAAAGCGGCTGCCCGCTTGACTCCTCGAGACTCGTTTGTTTTCCACCACAAAGTCTAGCTCATATATTCAGAGACGAGTCTTTTTTCCTTTCCTTTCCATTTCCGTTTCTTCGTTGTTTCCTATCTTCACTTTCCTTGGTTTCGGTTTCCTTGCTTGGAATTGGGCTGTTTTTCTCGACTGTTGGTAACGGGCATAATCACACGACGACCAACAACACCAACACCGCATCACTCAGCCCCCATCAACAAAAACGTCCAACATGCGTTCCGCAACTCTGTTGGTGCCAACCCTGGCATCTCTCGCCCTGGCGGCGCCCACATACCCCACTCTCAACCTCCATTCAGCCCTGCCGGGAAACATTGAGGATATTTCCGAGTACTTCAACATGCTCGCCACCAAGGTCCAGGCGCTCAAGTACCTGTCAGCCGAACCGGTCTGCGACCTGACCAAGGCCAAGATGGTTTCTCGTGGGTGGCCCTTACTGGCACGGGTCGACCAATCGTAAACTGACTTGACCAGCTGCCGAGGACCTCCCTCCACCGTCCGCGGGCCTGACTCTAAAGCACGTCGCCATCGGCCGTGGCACCCAAAACTACACATGCGACACCAGCAACGCAACAGCTGTGCCCGTTGCCACTGGCGCCAAAGCCACTCTCTTCAACGCGAGCTGCGTGGCTGCCATGTACCCCGACCTCCTCGAGAAGCTGCCCTCGGTCTCGATGCAATTCAACCTCACCGACAGTGACGAGCAACAACGACTCGGCCCCAGCAGCCTTGCCATCTCTGGACACCACATCTTCCCCACCACCGGCGTCCCGTTCTTCCAGCTCGCGACCGATGGAGTCGAGATTGGTGACGCATGGTGCGCAAAGAACTCTTCCATTGCCGCGCCCACCATGGCGGCCAAGGGCCAGCAGGGTGAGGGCGCCGTGCCGTGGCTGAAGCTTCTCACGACGGCGGGAAGCACCGGAAACCTTCAAGAGGTCTACCGCATCACCACTGTTGGCGGCAGCGCTCCCGCTACTTGTCAAGGCCAGCCCGCCGCATTCGAAGTTCAATACGCTGCCGAGTGAGTTTTCCAAACATGTCCCGTCTGCGCAGCATCGCTAACAGCCTACCAGGTACTGGTTTTATCAAGGCAAAGCGCCCGTCAAGTCCGCAGCCTCTTAGGGCAGGAACAGCAACAAGAAAAAAATAGTGTTAGTCCAAGGCGTTGGGGGTTTCTATGAAATATGTACAAGTTCTTTTCGATATACCATCATGTATTTCCACGGCATCCCGTGGCTGAGCTGGTCGGCCATTGACTGAGCCGGTGGATAACATTGCGATAATTTTAAATGACCGAGTCACATTGTTTGCAAGCGAGCTGCATCGTGACGACTGTGCGAGTTCCAGAAGCCTTTGAGGCTTCCATGCCCTGGATTCGGCGTCTGAACCCTCCGACCCACCTGCTAAACCTACCTCACTGAAGTGCCTTACCAGGCTTACCTACGGCGGCACCTGGCCCCCGGCCAGTGCCGCAAATCCCCGCCAGCCGGGGCAGATCCGTGGGCAGCAGGTATCTCAGGGTGCCCAAAGGATGAGGGGATTGGAGCAGCGAAACATTTGCCATGCCATGCCACTCCCGCCCAAGCCCCGGCCACATGTGCAAAGTCTCTGCAAACAGCCAATGGCGAGTACGTGTGCCCTTCCTTCAGGGCGCCAGAAAGAAAAAAGTGGCTCGCAAACCACCCTCGGTGACTTCACTTTCACTCGTCCCAAAGACGATCATCCCTCGGCCAGACGTACTTTTTTTTTCAGCTTTCGTTCTTGCAAACCTTTCAGTCGCCAGCGTTCGGCGAATCTCGCCAACCAAACCTCACGATTTGTTTATCCTGTTACAATAGCACCTTTTAATCACATACTCTCTTGCCGCGGATCAGCCGCCACCCGCTCCCGCCTGATCCACCCCGACAGCTTCCGTTGCGACTACGAACAAACCTTTGGCCGACCATCTGGTTAGCAACATTCGCACACAGTCGTTTGATCCCAACATAGACTCACGCTTGCTTTTCACACCCGTGCAGCCGTCGACGGCAAAGTCCATCGACCGATCCCCCGGCACCCGCGACCCACGACACCTGCCGACCGAATTGCCTCGACCAGGCAATCCAACCCATGAGCGGATACCCGAACGGCCATGAGTGAACGGGATGCCGCGCTGGAGATGCCCCGGAAACGACGAAGGCTCGACTCCATGGCTTCAGACCCGCCGCAGCTCACCTGGCCGCCTGCCCAAGTCCCTGTCGAAATCTTTGACGAGATCACCACCTACCTGTCTCGGACCGACGTCAAAAGCCTGCGACTGGTCAACCACGAGTTCGATCGCATGGTCTCGGCCAAGTACTTTCGCAATGTCGTCGTCCCGTTCCGGTCAGAGATGTATAAGGCCCGGAGGAAGGTGGCATGCGAGGAGGATGAGGAAACGGCCCAGCCATGCACCGACACCCTGTTTGCCAGCGGAATGCGCATCTTCCAGTCCTTTGGCAACCACATCTTGCGGTTCGCCTTGTCGCTGGAACTGGACGAGGAGAGTTTGGCATATCCACCCATCAAGCCCACGCAAAAGGCCGTCACCTCTTACTGGGGAATCTACCGGTGGCCCCACGAATCGTACCATCGGTATACGGAACTCGAAGGACTCGAGCAGACCGCCGACGAGACGGCATCAATGAAGGAGGCATTGAAGTGTCTGAAGCACGTCCAGGAGCTGGGCCTCTGCTGCGACGCCGGGCTGGGCTACCTCTTGGGGCCGGACCAGCAGCTCGAAAGCCCGCCGCTGCCGCATCCAGTTTTTGGCCTGCGCAATCTGCGGTATAGGCTGCTGCAGCGGCGCTTGGCGCGAGCCGAGTCGGCCAATATGAATGCCCGCAAGCTTGCCTTTGAAAGCCCTCGCGACTTCAAGTACACAGTGCTGGAGTCGATGGTCAAGGACGCCGGCTACTCGCAGGAGCAGGTCAAGGAAGCCATCAACATGCTTCTCAACACGGAGAACGTCTCGCTGATGAACATTGACTTTGACGAGCGCACCGCCTCCGTGCCTGATCTGGCCATCAACGTCTTTGCCCAGCAACAGCATCCCAACAATGCAAACCCCGCTGACGGGGATGCGGAAGATGCTGCGATCCAGCGCGCGGTGGCATCGGCGCTGGCTGACACGACCACCGGTCACCCTCTGCAGCCCAAGAATCTGACACGAGCCCAGAAAGAGATGCTTCTAGAGCTCGAGTGGGCTCACCGGGCACTCATCCAGTCCTACGTCATTGCCCTCAGCGACAACGCCCGCACAAACGACTTTAGCTCACTGACGACCCTGACGATCGCCAAGATACCCAGCAGCCACCTGTTCATGTTCCAGCGGCAGGACTTCTGGCAGAGCTTGCCGAACCTGACAAACGTCGCCCTCGCAGTCGTGGCAGACTGGCGCCAGGTGGCCAAAGTCGCACCCGGCTGTGTCGAGGACACCTTCGTCTCGCCTGTAGATGCCGTCGGCAGAGCCTACCGCGTGCTGCGGGACTACGTTGGCAAACAGAAGAACATCTCTTTTCTCCACTTTGAATGGATTTGCGGCGGCGAATTCGCCCCGGGCATCACGCAGCGCAACCACTACGTCCTGCCCGCACCCTTCTGCATGCCCGCGCACATGCCGGCGCTCGAAGCCGCCAAGTCGCCAGACCTCTTGCTTTCCCTGCCGCACATTGAGCATCTCTCCTTGAAGAACTGTTACAGCGCACCACACGTATTCTTACAGGTGATCCGGTCCATGGCCCTCCAGTCTCTGGAGAAGCTGGAGCTGGAGACCGTCTCCCTGGCTGGACCACCTGTACGGCGGCAAGGCCATGCAGCCTTTTTCCACGGGCACCTGGCTGCTCCCGCTGCTGCCGCCCAGCAGCAGGCCCAGGCCCAGCAGCAACAGGTCTGGCAGTTGCAGCCTGTCCAGGCCAACGCACAGGCTCTCCAGCCGCCACCGATGCCACCCGCACCCAACCAACCAGGAGCAGCTCCAGCCCAGCTGATCAATATCCCGCTCGGAATCCTGGCCCAGGGCCCGGCGCAAATAGCTCAAGCGCTCAACGTCGGTGCCCAGAATGCCCAGGCACCGGCGCTGGCACAGGCACCAGACCCTGTCACCCCTGATTGGGACAGCATGCGGCTGCGGGTGCCAGAATTGCTCACTTGGACGGGCGTTATCGAACGGCTCGCACCAGTGCCTGGCATTGCAGAATTGACGGCCACGCAAGACGATGACGAGGGGCTGGACGATGCTGCAAGCTCGGACGAGGGCTACAAACTCATTCCCAGGGCAAATTTCCTGCGGAAGGAGAAGAAGAACTTCTGTCTCGAGAGCATGTCGTTCAAGTCGTGTGGGTACGTGGCGCTGGATGTGCCCTTCATCGACAACACCAACACGCTGCCACTACGCCCCCCGTGGCAGGAGCCGCAAGAGATCACGACGCGGCGAAGGGAGCTGGCGCCGTTCATGCAGCACTGCAACGACCGGCTGGCGGCCAAGATCACCAACTTCCTGCCGCCGCAGGAGCGATTCAACCTGGCGACCGCATACGGGATGGACCTGACCTGGGCATCCTGGTATGACGAAGAGGTCATCGAAGCAGCCAAGAGGGATGGCGTCATGGTTCCTGGCAAGGGCCGCTTCAGCGGCACGATTACGAAGACGGCCAACTAGTATGGCACGGCCGTAGATTCTGTGTATTTCAACTTTGGGGACTGACCGGCGTTTGGACAATGATACCACGGGAAAAGAATGAGACGCGGTGGACGTCATAAAGGCACTTTTGAGTTTTGAGACAGCGAGGACTAACTGAATGCATATCCATTTCCGTTTGACGCCAGTCATGAATGCTCATCTAGGACCACTTTAGGGAATCACTTTTGCAGGTTTTGTTTATTGGTGGCCCATCAGACCTTTGCGTGAATTCGCATGCCAATCCCTAAATGCCATGAGACCATAGCCATCCTGTACACCAGCATATGAAAAGCCGCATTTTTTCCACGCATCCATCAACCCAAGACCTCCCAGGTTCACGTTACACCAGTCATACCGCACTCGAAATCAGGTCGCTTATGCGGCGGTGATGGCCTGGCGGACGCGGGCACCGCGCTGGCGGGAGTTGAGGCGAACCTCCTCACGGCCAACGACGGCATCGGACTTCTGGACGACCTCCTCGCCCTCGGTGAGGATCAGCTCAATGTGGCAGGGGTTGGACATGTAGGGGTTGATCTGCGGCTGTTAGTGGCGGACGGCAGGCCGAGCGGCAGAGTGTACGTACGCGACCGTGGGCACGGTATGTGCGTCTCCGTTGCTTGGGGGCCTGGTTGACCTGGATGTGCTTGACAACCAGGTTGCCAGTGTCGAGACCCTTGGCGTCGGCGTTGGACTCGGCATTCTTCAGGAGGCCGAGGAGGAACTCGGCGGATTTGACGGGCCAGCGGGCGCGGGAGACACCGAACTGCTTGCCTGGATTAGGGGTCAGTACTTTGTGTCCTCCTCTCGTGGTTCATCGTCGACCCCGAGTCGTTGACGACGACTTTGGTTCGGGACATGTCGTACCTTGCGCCGTGCGGCCGATGGAGCCGGCGTAGCGGCGGAAGGGGACGGCCTCAGCCTTCTCCTGGACGTTCTCGAGGAACTTGACGGCGCGCTGGAGCTTCCAGCCATTGATGGCCTGGGCGGTCTCGCGGGTGTTCTTGAAGGACACGCGCAGGTAGGAGCCGCGGGCGCGGGCCGACTTCTCGCGGGCAATCTCGGTCGCAGCGTAACGAACCTATGGGAAGGCCATTGTGTCAGTCTCGTGTGCACATCGTCTGCGGTCTGCGATCCTTCCCCCGCCTCGGTCCCGGTGCTGTCGAATTTTCGTCATGTTTTCCCTCCCGGCACTTTAAATTGCAACCAGGTTCTCGGCGACGGCGGCGGCGTGGTTTTCCAAGGGCGACGACGGGTCTCCTCGCGAGGACCTCGCAGATGGGGAAGCAGCAAGCACTTACCATCTTGATCGTTGGGTGTGGTGATGGTTTCGGCGTCGGTGGTCGTCGTCTGGGCTGGCTGAGTGAGTTAGAAGAAATTCACAACTTTGCTTGACCCTAGCCCTTCAGCGCGGGTTGGCTCGCTTGCGGATCGGGAAACGGCAGGGGTCTGCCTTAGGGCTCCGCAACCCTACGGGGTAAAAATGGCCATTTCCAGCGCCAGTCTGGGAAGAAAGCCCTGGGAGAAATAGGGCGTACCTGATGTCTGACTTGTAAGGTCTCGATTGAAGTTACTGCGTCGAAATGGCAGCCGATATGTGGTTGTCGAAAATGATGCGAAATATTTCTTGTCTCGCGTGCAGTGCCTTCTCACCACCAGTGCGACCCTTTCTGGCAGTTGCCGATTTTCCCCAAAGTGGACACCACCTTATCTAATCGGAAAGAAAAATTCATGTCCGGAGCCCGGTGAATCCTAAATCCATGGCGGCCAATCACGAATGACACCCCACATCCAATGCATGTTTGGACCATGTAGCTCTGAAAAAAAAAAAAAGTTGGAAAATTTCTATCTCCAGTAGTCTCCAGCGCCAACCCGCCCTCAGAGGACACCATCTGCACCTGCACCTCTGACCAATTCGACTTCTCACAACGCGGGACTGGCAGTAGTCTGACGTTTATTTCTTTCCTATACCCCAACATCCGATAAAAGACAATGGCTCCTTTCCAGGCTCGTGGCGGCAGAGGCGGTGGCCGTGGTGGTTTCGGCGGTGACAGAGGAGGTCGCGGAGGTGGTCGCGGCGGACGCGGTGGCTTCGGCGACAGAGGCGGAAGGGGAGGTGGCAGAGGCGGCTTCGGTGCCCGCGGAGGTAATTAACCATATCGATGGCGATGCCGAGAACGAGAAGCTGACGCGATAGCAGGCGGCCGTGGTGGTCCCCGTGGCGGCGCTGGTGGTCGCGGTCGTGGAGGTGTTGGCAAGCCTGGTGGTCGCGGCGGACGTAAGCTTCATCCACGAGTGCCCTTGAGAGAGAAACAGCTTTGAGCTAACAGCGCGCACAGCCAATGGAATGAAGGGAGGTGCCAAGGTCATCGTCGAGCCTCACCGTCACGAGGGTATCTTTGTCGTCCGCGGCAAGGAGGACGCCATCGCAACCCGCAACATCGTCCCCGGCGAGTCCGTCTACGGCGAGAAGCGCGTCTCCGTCGACGACGTTGCCCAGAACGAGGATGGCACCACCACAACCACCAAGGTCGAGTACCGCGTCTGGAACCCCTTCCGCAGTAAGCTTGCTGCCGCAGTCATCGGTGGTCTCGAGAAGATGTACTTCGGCCCCGGCTCCAAGGTCCTCTACCTCGGTGGTGCTTCTGGTACTTCCGTCTCCCACGTTGCCGACATTGTCGGTCCCACCGGCTTCGTCTACGCCGTCGAGTTCTCCCCCCGTTCCGGCCGTGACCTCATTGGCATGGCCGCGAAGCGCACCAACGTCGTCCCCATCGTTGAGGACGCTCGCCAACCCCTCAAGTACCGCATGCTCATGCCCATGGTCGACGCCATCTTTGCCGACGTTGCCCAGCCCGACCAGGCCCGTATCGTCGCCATGAACGCCCACCAGTTCCTGAAGGTCGGCGGCGGCATCCTCATCTCCATCAAGGCCAACTGTATCGACAGTACCGCCCCCGCCGCCAAGGTCTTCGCCATGGAGGTCGAGAAGCTGAGAGCGGAGCGCATCGCACCCAAGGAGCAGCTTACGCTAGGTACGTTTCGTCCGAGTTGCAGCCAAGAGTCCGCAAGCTAACAGTCGCAGAACCCTTTGAGCGTGACCACTGCCTCGTCGCTGCCGAGTACAACCGCTACGCGAAATAGATAAAGATGTATGTGATACGCGGAGAGGGATGTTAGCGGTTGAATCTGTACATTTGCGAGATTCCCACGATGGTTGACTTTTGCTTCAATGGGTTTGGTCAGGTCGGACTTCATCTGGACAGGCGTTAGGAAAAATTTAGGACGGTCTAGTTCAGAACTTTGCATGTTAACCCATAGGTATCAAGAGTACTTTGTGAACGACATGTCATCAGTCTTGTACTTCATTCTTCCCGGTAGTTAATTGCAGTTCATTAGAAGTTGATATGCTCGAGGGCTTGTCGTTTCCACCACTCGTCTTACACGTCAAGTCACTCGATTTCCTGGGCCAAACCCGATTCAGCCGCTGCCGCCGGCGCTCCACCCATCAGTGACCCATCGAGCCACCGTTCACTGGCCCACGACCCCAACGTCGGGTACGCCTCTCTCGTTCCGCCGATTCTCCACCGGTCCGCATAGCAGTCGTCCTCCACGGGCATTCGTGCAAAGTACACGACCCGCTCCTGTTCCGGCTGCCACTCCATTGGCTCCGCGGGGCCGCCTGCGCCGAGGCTGTCTGCCCAGGCCTCCACAACCTGCCGTTGCTGTTCGAGGAGGGCCAGAAGCTGCCGGCGGAAGTGGTAGTCTTTCTTTGCCTCGCGGCGCTCGTGTGGTTTCTCGCGGTTGTGGTCTGGCAGCCGTTGGGGCCGCTCCGCCGGGTGGCGTTCCTTGCTGCTCGAGCTAGCGGTGTCCAGTCGGGTAGCTGGCTGGCCTTGGTGCCTATCATATTTGGGGCCGGGCTGCGTCTTGTCCATCAGGTAGTCACCGTCAGTGTCTGTCACAACTTCGTGACGGCGGTGCTTTCGATGCTTGCGCGGGCGGGTTTCACTGTTTGAGTGACGGGTAGATCGGCTCTTCCTGTCGACGACGCGGTCTGCTCTGTCTCGACGATGGGAGTCGTCCCTGGTGTTGCGTGAGCCGCTGCCAGAGTCCGGTTCAGGCCTGCGATTGGTCGAGCGGCGGCTTGATTTGCGATTGCGCGCCATCGTTGAAGCCCCAGCCCGAAATGTTGTTCAAAGTCGGTTTCGAGAGACTCACTGGCCGGAGATGGCAGCTCAACGACGGGGTACTTCTGGATGGAGCCTTTTGTACGGCTGCATCGAGAGGACGTTCTGCTACGCATTGGAACGGCAGCCTCCTTCGCCCCGAATCAAAGTGGAAGAGGCTCGATGGCCCCATCCGTGTTTCTGGGCGAGGGCCGGAAATGCGGAATAGGGCAGAAGATACGGGCTTGTTAGAGCCTGAGTGAATCATGTTGAAACTCTTTCAGACCTCCTTCGATCACCAGCTAATCCTTTCCGCGGGCTTAAAGAGGTGGCATATGAGGATGTGGTTCACTCGGGGCCATCTTTGTTCTTGAGCTCCTTCTGAAGCGCCATTGTGAGCTCTGGAGGCTCAGGCTTCAGGCTCGACCCTCGAAGGCATTGGATAACCGCTTGGTATCAACACAATTTAAATCCCAATCGAGATTTCGGCAGCCTGAATCACACATGGCCGGGATCAGAGACTCCAGCCTTGGCTCTCCTGTCTGTCGGCTGTGAGGGGTTCTTGATCCTTCTGTTCTGGACTGTTTTCCAGGTCGACAAACATGAATGCGAAAAGGATATTTCTGGGCCCTTCTGCGATCCAAGGAGAAGGCTCGCCATATCCCCAGCAAATGCTATTGCTGCGGCCGCTTCAAGTCTCAGATGCGCAATCTCTCATCGACGGATGCCATCAGCACCGTCCTGGAGTCGAGAAGCACGCTGCTCAGCCATGATCACCCTGAATCTGGCACTGGAGATGGACTGAACGCATCAGACAAACCACAACGAGCAGCATCTTCCTCTCCCGATGACTCAATCATCGAACCGCGAGTCCTTTCTCGTCGCTTGGACAACGTCTTGGCAACAGATGAAGGTTAGCTCACAACCGGTCGACAACCTCGGCAATGATGCAGCTCACCACACATATGCCCTGATTGGAAGAACATTCAGCCTGGCCACGTCCAGGAAGAGCAGTGCTACTCGTACTGCTCCAGGGGTTATCTTGGTTTCTGTCAAACTCATTCCGCGTGGGTCCAAGACTGATTCGTCCCTAATGGACCGTCCCATGTCTGTCGATCAAAGCCATCAGTCTTGCTGGCATACACCCGTCGTCAATTGACGGCTCCGTGAGGTAGATCAAGACACTAGCAGTTCTGCCAGCCCACCCAGGCTGGCAACAACCAATGGCTTTCGTCCTATCCACGGCTCCCATCACACTTGTCGCCGACCGAGGTGATGCCTCACGAGAGCTAGACCCAAACACAACCCCCACACGATGCTCCTGGTCGAGAGCGTGGCAAGTGCGGCACATTCGACTCTCTTTGGATGTGAGCGGTTCTCAGCAAGTCGAAACCATGTACATCTCGGAGCAGCGTTGCAGTGCTTGTCGCAATACTCTGAACGAGACGCACAGACAGACCGCGGCTCGCCTCCGACTGAACAGGTAGGATGGTGCTCGAGGCTGACCCCTGTAACAAAAGTTCATTCAAGACAACGGCGTTGGTGGACTTTGGCTGCCTGCTGCCACATTCGCATTGGACCTTGCTGCTGGGGCTGAACGAAGCCAAGCCGCTAAGCCATGTGCTCCTCCGCATTTTGGCTGGTCTTCAGCAACGGCGTGAGGGGAACATGTCATTCACACGCTCCAAAGCCTGGATTCGCGTGTGATTAAACCAGAAGCCAAGGCCGCACCCGAGATTCGGTTTAAAGCCAAACCATACCAACGGTGAGCCATCATCACCCATGGGCTTGGCTCGGTGGCTTGCTGCCTGCGAAACCGGTGCTCCGTCACCATGGCACAAGTCGACGGCCTTCCATATGTCGCAGGGCTGACTAGCGTGAGTTGCGGCGGTTCGAGAATGTCTCTCCTGATTACGATGGGCGTGATGTCCCCTTCTGGTGCCGGTCTACTGAAGATAAAATGAGCAGATGCCCATTTGGCACCCTCCTCCGTCGACCGTTTGATTCACGCCAGCTGTTTCTGGACTGGGCATCGAATATCGGAGGGAAGGGGTTGACCATGGCGCACGGGTGTGCTATTTCAGTCGAGAGCTCTCCTGTGCCTTACAGATGGATCCGTAGGGTTGGGATGAAATAGCTGAAGAGCGGCGTGTTTTGGCTTGGGAAGCTTGCGGTCGTGTTTCCCCGAAAAAGATGTCCACCATCCGGGAAATGACCCCACTTTCCCCCGCTGGAGTTGGCGCAAGGATCAATGGGTTTGGGGAAAAGGTACGTGCCCACTTGGGATGCTACCCTCCCACTGTCATCACCACAACCACGAAGCTCTTTGGCTGCTTCATCCTTGTCTTTGCTCATCACGGTCTTTAGCTCTGTATCTCAGAATCTGCGCCCTCTGCCTCTATCATGCTTCTGGCCTGTTCCCCCTCGTTCAAGGCCTATTGGCTAATCAAAGCTTGGCCCAGCCCTCTAGGTTTCCCAACCCTGAATCTCGCTAGAATCATCTCGCCCAGGCCGACCTTTGGCCATGCAGCGGCACAGCTGACGCCAACATGATGCATGTCCCCAAGTCGAAGGCTTGATTCAGCCAGCCGTTTTATCCGTCAACCTGCAGCAGCACGTCGCTCGTGGCTTCTCCGAGAATACGGTACCCCAACACTTTAGGCACCGTCATTGCGCTGCCACGTCCTTGCCTCGTCCCATCTTCAAACGAGAGACGACACTTCAGACCGCCTCCATCTTCAGCATCATCAAGCATCATCTGTTCGCCGGCCCCTCGAGCGCGCTCGCGATGGTGGCGTTCCCACGTGGTCAGCGCCGGCATCGTGCCGTCAGCCAGGTCAGGGGAGGCTACGATACGATCATTCAGTTGAATCTATCAGCCGAGTGCGATGCTATTTCGGGTTGGGCGTCGTCCTGAGTTATCGTCAGCCCGGCGCCAGCCAATTATCGATTCACCGTTGACATTCAAAACGGGATCGTCTTGATTTCGTGTCAGAGGTCGCAGCTCTCCTCTGCCTGCATCGGGTAGGGTGGTGCTGTTGCCTTTCTTGCTTCCGCCAACCCGCAGCCCGAAGACGGTTGCCACCTCTCCTTCTGCACCTCGCGGCTCAGCTGTCAAGTGAATGCCTCCGGTGGAGTCGTCCGCCACGAAGACCACCAGCGACTGCAGAATGGATAGCACGAGTCGTCTTGCTGGAGAATCCCAAGTGCCCAAAGATGAGCCATCTAATTTGCTGCGCCCAATCCCTGCCATTTTGTGGCTTGACAAGGGTTTCACTAAACGGGTGAAGTCGTCGGTCCCTCAGAGTCGTCGGTGGCGGCGAGCTAGGAAGAAGTCTGAATTTTAATACAGTTCGAATGCCTCCGCCCCCCATCCCGGCGGGCGCCCTGACCTCGATCGATCAAAGCCCAGATCATTGCGACAAAAAGAACACCACAACACGCGGGCGATCCATTGATAGGGCAAATGCGATATATTCCGATCTGGCTTGCATCTCAGGGGCAACAGCGAGCCACGCAGTAAGATTGAGGATTGTAATGCCCTCCCCCCGAATACGGTGCAGACGACGGCACCGACAGCCAACGGTGACCATGTCCTGGGGGGGCCTTGCATCTCACTCGCGCCAGCTGTGGGAATTGACGGGGGTCACCCTGGCGTCCCCAGGTTCGTCCGACCCCGCGCCAAGCTGGCTGTGTGGGCTAGCAGGTGGTAAGCTAAGTCCTCCGCTTGGCCTGTTCCAGCTGCGATGACCGTCATCCTGGAGGGGACTAAGCCAATCTCCAGCTTCTACGAGGCCTGTCTCGGGGTGCCAGGTACCTCCAACACCCTGCTCCGACATGGAACGCGCTCTCGACACCATCCTAACCAATCCCGCCCTCCATCACCCCTGCCCGAGCCATGCGACAGTCCAGGCTTGCGGCGCCCCGGCGAGTCGATGACTGGCTCTGCTCCTTATTCCTACATTTTGCCGACTCTTCATCAATGCCCAGCCCGTCTTGTTCTGTCTCTTTTCCTCCTTCAGATCATGTTGGTTCGGACAGTCGACACGGTTTGGTCTACACTCGCTTGTGCTCACCCGTAGATCATCCTGGTCAGGAGCCTGCACGTCTCAAACGGGAAGTCGACTCTAGTCGGCCTCGACACATTCCTTTTACGCGGAGGAGAACAGATACTTGAGGATTGGCCCTTCCGATATTTACGGTCCCCAGACGACGACCTCCGCCCGACCGTACTGGTATTGATACGATACTCGGAACACATCTACACACTTTGAACAGCGAGATGGATCAACCAGAAGAGAAAGTCAGCCTGGACAAAGGCGACCTCGACCTCCTCAGCATTATCGAACGTACGTGCTCGGTATTTTCGTTGCTGGGATGCGTCTTCATCATCGTCACGTTCTGCTCGTCGAGAGCGTTCCACAAGCCAATCAACCGCCTCGTCTTCTTTGCATCGTTTGGCAACATGATGACCAACGTCGGCACGCTCATGGCGAGGTCATACATTGAGTCGCCGTTGTCGCCGGGCTGCCAGCTTCAGGCGTTTCTGATCCAGATGTACGTACGCCTCCCGCCTTTCGAGACCTGGTTAACGACCGCAGGTTCATGCCAGCCGATGCATTTTGGACGCTGACCATGGCCATCAACGTCTACCTGACCTTTTACTTCAAGTTCGACGCCGAGAGGCTCCGCAAGATGGAGATCCCGTACCTCATCTCATGCTACGGCATCCCCTTTGTCCCGGCTTTGACCTACGTCTTTGTTACCAATGGGCAGGGACAGAGGGTGTACGGAAACGCGACCCTCTGGTGCTGGGTGACGCCGGATTGGGAAATCTGGCGCATCCTGACGTTTTACGGACCTGTTTGGTATGTTTGTTCTCTCTGGTGCACAGGACTGCCGCTCACTTTTACAGGATCGCGATATTAATCACCTTTTTCATCTACATCCGAGCGGGCCGCGAAATCTACCAGAAGCGCAAGCAGCTTCACAACTTTAGCTCTTCCGATCCGGACCATCTCAACTCCTTTCATGATGCCCTCACTTCGATGAAAACCACCGAGGTGTACGTCACGTCGGAAACGATTGAGCAGCCCAGCGGCTCCATCGGGCTGGGGTCCATGGCAAGGCGTGGTGGATCAGACGCTGGATCAATGCCGCGGATGCCCGACGCTGCTTACTCTGTCAGCATTTCTGCCAACCACCACGAACGCCGCGAGTCTCACGGTGATGCCGTTCTCCCGGCAGAGAGCGTCACCATCGAAGCTAATCCCGCCCAGCGCCCGTTGAACTCGGCCAGGCGACGCAACTACGAGGTCAACAACGCCGCTTGGTCGTACACCAAGTGCTCCATCCTATTCTTCACAGTCATCCTCATCACCTGGGTCCCGTCGAGCGCCAACCGCGTGTACTCGGTCATCCATGCAAAAGAGTCGTCGACGCCGCTCGCCTTCATGAGCGCCTTCGTCCTGCCCCTCCAGGGATTCTGGAACGCCTTGATCTACGTGGTGACGTCGTGGAAGGCCTGCAAGACCCTCTGGACCGACATTCGGTACGCGTCCCGGCGCCCAGATGTCACGGAGCTTGTCGGCAGCTTTCGCCACAGCGACCAGTTCAAGATTCCCAGCCCCAACCGCAGGAACAAGACGTACGAGAGCGAAAGCATCACGGAGCTCACGAACAGCCGACCCAGCTCCAACGACCAGGCCTCGCGGTCATGAGATATGCCATTGAAAGGATGAGCGTTTGTGGAAGATACCCGATTTCACCAGCAGACATGATTTTGCGTATACCATTTCACGATTTAGTTGGAGTTGGCGGCACTAGTTTCTTTTGTCCCAAGTTATTTGTCACGAATATACTACTACCATTTACGTCCTTTGCAAAAATCGGCCCTGCGTGAAGTATTTAGCCCAAGTGGCGCGAGACCAAACACGCCATTCCCACGTGCTGTCTCGAGATCAGCCCGTGTTCCTGCTTATCCCAACGGTTTGTTCCTCCCGAAAGTCTAACTCTGCCCATTTGTTCGTCTCGTCTGCCCCAGTAGCGCGCGGGCGATGCTCGCTGCAGATGTACCATGATCGGCGATGGACGGTCTGTGAGCAACGTTCTAGCTAATCGAGCATGAAGCGGCCGACGGAGAGAACCCCTTGCCGTCTGCTCCGACGGCTGCAAGGGAGCGTTCTTCTGTGGCGCCGCGTCTGCCAGGGGGATATTTTTTCGCCGTCCTGAAGCCGAGGGAAAGATTCAATAGATTGAGAGGTTCCAAGACGAAATATCCATGGATGCACCTCGCAGGGACGCCCCTATGCCCTAGACAGGGATGCGCTGCAGGGCAAGGCCTTCCACGCTCCAGCCCAGCGGGCTTTGGAAGCCAGCTGCATCTTTTCCGGGGTCGTCGCTCACAGGTGCTCCCAAGCTTGCCAGAGAAGAGCTTCCAACTCTGCTTGCCCAGCGTCTTGGCTTGAGTGCAAACCAACGTCAAGCTTTTCCCGGCCCCGCTGCTTCTTGAACTGCGAGTCAAGACGGGGGATATTTTTAATAGTTGTTTGGTTCGTGCACCTCATTGAGGCGGCCGGAAATCTAGCAGACTTTGTCCCTGTTTTCCGTCACGCAGCAGACTGACAGGCTCCTGACCCTTACGCGTGTGCTCTTGCTCGAGCCCTGCCGACGGGCTCAACCAGGGAATGCCGCGACGAAGATCTCTGCCAAAACAAGTGCGAGCATTATTCCAACACGAGAACAAAGCACCGTCCACGGAAAAATTGTCTGCTCCTGGCGATCCGTTTCACCAGGCGACAACCATTGCTTTTCACTCGACCGAGTGTGCGTCATTGACTTCACGGAAGGCTATTCGGCTAGAGACGATGACCGTAAGAACAGAGAACTGCAAATGGGGTTTGCAGGCAGATTACAATCTGGAGACGCAAACCAAAAATCATTGCTGTGCAGCGCTGACTCGCTCCGCATCCAGACTCGTCCGACACACCATCCCAGCCTTCGTTTAATTACCCGGCCGGCGACGGCACAGCAGCTGTCAAATGCCCTCCAACAGGACAGGTCCAACACGAACCGGCTCCAACTGCGGCAGACGTCTGTTGACGTCGCATTGGATGCAACCGGTCACCCTCCACCAGCCGTGGTTTGTGCACCGTCTCATGCCGTTCTTCCCATCCCCAACCGCAGGCACGAATGACACGGTGGCATCGAAATACAGCCTCCTTACGGCGCGGCGACTGCCCAGCATCCCGGCCGGAACGCGCGTGTCTCGGACGGTCAGTCAGTCACTTCTCATCGTCTGCAGCGGCTGTGGCTGGAGCATCACGCCGGCTGTGGCGCAGGTCAAAGCGCGTAGGATCGTATTGTACTGTATTGCGACTGCTGAATCCAAACTGTGAATTCATCGCCAACGCCTGCCAACCCGTCTGCAAGGGCCAAAGCGCCAACGGACAGGCACGCGTACAGCACAGCAAGGCACCCTGCGCCCGGGATTGCCGTCGCACGACTTTCCCCTACGCAACCGCTTCACTGCATTCATGACACCTGGCACCGCCGATTCTTGTCGATGCCTTGCCGTAGACCGCGAACCGATAACAATCATAAGGGACGAGTGGATTGTGCGGGGGGCAGGGATCACGTTGCCGTTGACGTGGGGTCCGATGGGATCGTCCAAGTCGGGATCCCATGGCGAGCAGGGTGCCAATTCGACCACCGACCGATCCGGACTCATCAGGAACACGATGGAGAGAAACTCAAACTGCATGTCCACGCACCACACGACATTTACCATTACGGTATCGTAGCCCATTCTAACCTGCGCTTACATAGCCATAGCCAGTCCAACGATTGATTCCAAGGTGAAAAGTAGCTCAGTCCCGTAAACCTATACCTCTGCCCACAGTCCCCAAGAAACCCGATAAATGCGAGTACAGTACAACGGCGAACATGATTCTACACCACGTCCCGGCGGATCTGCCGACCCCGAGCAAGGTGAGGCGAGCGGCGCTTGGCCCTCTGGGGTATTGTGAAAGAAATGTGGCCCTCCAACGCCAAATGAGAAAACATTTGCTCCTCCAAGTGTTTTTTTGTTTGCAGACGATCACGCATCCTTGACTGCCTCGATGATGCTGTACTCCCACGAGGTCTTGAGCTGGTCGCACTCCTCCGCAATGTCGGGGTGCTCCCACCACCACCGGTCGGCCGTGATGAAGTGTCCCCACACCTCTTTCCAGAGCATGCGTCCGACCAGGCTGCGGAGCTCCTGCTTGATGGCTCTCTCCGCGAGCTGCTCAGAGTCGGTCGTCGCTGTGTCCGGCTTGTCGGTGGGCGGGATGGCGAAGAACTTCACGGTGGTGATGGTACTGCCTTCAGCACGGAGGGAAGCGTCTGCCAGCCAGAGAGGGAACAGCTTGCTCGGGTTCATGCAGCGAAAGTTCTTTTCCAGGTTGAAGATGAGGTTGTCTTCGATCCAGGAGCGCATGCGTGGGCCCAGGGTGCTTGTGACGGGGAGAGGGTCGATGAGTGTGAGGTGGAACGTGCCTCCCTGGGCAAGGCAGCGGTGGACGTTCTTCAAGAGGCCGGGCACCTCGGGCGAGGGGAGCAGCGCCGGGAGGCCGAGAGAGTACACCGCGCCAAAGAGCGACGAGGCAACGGGGAAGGCCGACGGAGAGATGGCCGGGGCAAGGACCGGATGGATGTTGGGGAACAGGGTGTGGGACAGAGGAGACGACGAGAGGTGGTAGACCTGCTTGTTGAAGTGGACAGCTGCCAGGTACGAAGTGGTTGCTGGAGGCGTTAGTCTTGTGTCTCATCCCGAGGCGACGGACACTCACCTTGCGTCTCATAGAGAGCAAGAACCTTTCTTGCCTTGGCCGGCGTGATCTTGTTAGGGGCGTTTCGCGTCTGGTCCGTGTCCATTGGTTTGTCCATATTGTGCAGGGACGAAAGCATCCACCGCTTCTTTTCCATCTCAAGCTCCTTGTAGAGACTGGCGTCGTTCGTGTCGCCCCAGACCTCCTTCAACCGCAGCAGACGTATGCTGGAGCTGGCGGCGGCCATACGCCTCACCTCGCGCTGCATCCCGCTAAGGTCCATCGACAGGGAGAGTCCGGTTTCGAGCTCTGGCGTTTCCTCAATGACGTCGTCCATCATCGGCGTCCGCACCTCGGCAGGAGAGCAGTCCCAGGCGTCGGGTGGTTTCCAGGCGTCTGGGTTGTTGGGCTTGAAGGAGGTAGTCCACGATGGCACCCGGCGGAGGGATTGCCTCGGCGTGGGCTGTCCCGGAAAGAGGTTGACGGGGCTGTCCACGAAAGCAGGCGTTTGCGGTCTGACTGGTTAGCGAGGCTCTCCCAAAGGACGGGGCTCTTACTGTATGGCTGGAGACCGCGGCGGCGTCGGCGGCTCCTCTTTGACAGGCTCTGCCGTTATCGTGACATGAGAGACCATGCCGGCCAACTCGCTCTCGGTGGTCCGGGGGAGGATGGTCACCTCGGTGCTTTTGGTGATGAACGACGTAGGCCCAAGGGTCTGCACGTAGTGGGAGGCTTTTCCGGCCGACGACTCGGCCACGGATGCAGTGCACGGCGAACACGGGACCGCCAACGAGGTCTCTGTCCATTTTGAGTTGTCTGTCCATTTTGAAAACACGGAATCTATGAAACCTGATATCAGTGAGCTGTGGCAAGGCTGACGAAGCGTACGCAAGTACCTCTGTTGGAGCTCGGAGAGCTCTGCGAGTCCTCGATAAAATGGTCGGGTATATAAGTGCGATCCGCCGTGGCAACCGTCGTGACGGGGCTGCAGGGTAGCTCCGACGGGGGCGGCTCCGAGACTGCAGACAGCAACGAGCCTCTGCGCGTGCTGTCGATGCTTGGCGCCTTGAGAGCCGATGATTTAGTGGACGGGGTAAACGTCTTCTTAAGACTCCTGGATCCGAAGAAACTGAACGGCTTGTTGTCGGAGGACGATGAGCTGCGGGTGGACATGGAGCTTCTAGCTGCGCGGGACTTTTCCTTTTGCTCTCGCTCGGTGGCCTTGCGGTCGCGATGCTCCTTCCTAGACTCCCTGTCGGGGTCTGTCCAGACAACCTCCCACATGGCGGGCGGAGGGATTTCGAGAAGACGGCAGTGACGAAAGAAAGGGTGACGGCGGTAGCAATGCTGGATATAAGCGGGCGAGGGGACGATTCGAGACTCGGAGATGCAGGTTGCGCCCGGTGAGTGGTCTCATGCCCGAAATTCGGAAAAACGGGGCGTGGATAGTGTTTTGGCACCGAGGAGGACCGGGAGTCGTTCGTCTGATGGTGGGCGTGGAATTGGGTGGTGAAGATGAAGTTAAGATACAGTTGCAGTCGGCGTTAGGAAGTCGCAGGTTGGAAGGTAAAACAGCCGAGACGTCCGGGAGCCCGAATGGTCGAGGAGGACTGCCAAGGTAGAACAGAGCGATGCAAGGAACCGAGATGACGACCGTCGGCTGGATTGGAGAAAATAACAAAAGGGAAGTTATCGTCTGCGAGAGGTGCTTGATGAAAAAAGAGAGGGATTCAAGATGAAGGCAGGAACGACAGGCCCAAGAGGCAGGAGCTGCGGGAAGAGAAACGCCGCTAGTGTATCAAAGGGACATGCGCGCGCACCGATTCAGGTACCAGTGCGAAAGGGCTGATGGGGATGGCAGTTTGACAGTTGGCATGCGGTAGTCGTTCCTACCCGTCGCCAGTCGTTCTGTGGCAGCTGCACTCGATACTCGATTCCGTGCGTGCCGTCGCAGCGCGTCGTGTTCTCTGGCTTGTGTACAGGTCGTCAACGCGCAGCCTACCTCCATCCGTCGGGCCAGCCAGAGAGTGCCAGAGGTGAGTGGACACTGGCGTCGGGAGCTGGGGACGACGCTCCTACAAAAGGCATTGGGTCAAATAATTGCAGTCTCTCAAACCAGGGCCGGCGACAGTGTGTGATCGTGCGCGACCCCGTCATTATGTACGGTGTCATGTCATGGCCGGGTCCCAGGCCGACCCGGTGCAGATCCAGCTCGATCATCAATTTGTGCTCCCCTCCCCCACCGCCTGGCCATATATCGAATGGGGACTAACACGAAGCAGGCTCCTGGTCCCTCGCCGATAGAACATGCAGTCATCTGAGATTTTGTGGCGTTCGGCCGGCCATGTCCCTGGACGCCCGTCCATCTGGAACACCATCATTGGGCCTTCATCGCTCAGTGTTTTTCCATTGTCTCAATCCGTCTGCTTTGCATTGCTTATTCCTCAACGACGAGCCAGGACGTCCTAGCCGGAGTTCGTCACAATCGTGCGCCCAGGGCTGTGGCACCGAGCACAGCAGTGTGTGGGAGCCGGCAGCAGTTGGTGCCGGCGCAGAGTGTTGGTGCCGACAGCGTCGGCGATGGTGTTGTTGGCGAGGCTTTTATTTCGCTTGCTGATTGTCCTGATTGATGCCCCTCCGAGTCCTTTGCGCATTCGTCTCCTGATTCATTCACAATGCCCTTGGCATGCCGGCCATGGCACGCAGGTTGGATCACTGATAAGGTGCCATGTGGACTTGGGACCGGCGTGCCGGAACCTTTCAGCAAATGCACCGGCGCGGGATCGGTCATCGACCACATGGCAGAGATGGCTCGCATCGTTCCACTGGGCGGTGACTATCGACAAGTCCGTTCCAGCTGTGGACGAGCTGCTAACTTGCTAGCGCTAGCCGTCTGGTTGGATTCGACTCGGCTGTTGGACGAGACGCCTACCCTAGCTCGCGAGCTGAGTTGAGCTGATCTTACTACGCGATCAAGTTACGGATGAATGTTTGCTCGATCTCTGCAAACTGCCATGGCACCACACCAGACAGCTGCAAGCTGCCTTCTCATCCCATTGTGCCCCGTCGATTCAAGCCCGCGGTCGGACTGGCAGGACACCGTCGCACCAAACCTGTTGAAAGGCGCAGTCTTTGGCCAGCAACAGTACCTGTCAATCATGCGTTCCATCTCATCGGTCCCGACTGACCGTTCTGCGGGAGGTGGCCGTCGCCCATGCCGATGACTAGTATCCGCTGGTCGCTGGATGGATTCCAGTCTCGACCAGCAAGGTGACAAGCATGGTGGCGCAGCGAGGCTAGCTGGATGGGTGAGGAGGTGCGTCGGCGTCGAATGCGAGTGGTCGAGTGAGATGGAGTGAGAAGCAGGTCATGACGGCTGCCAGGATCTGGTCGAGCAGGTGGGTGGCGGATCTGCAAGGGAACGGCAATCCGGGGCAGGGCTATCCCCCTGAGCCCCAGGGGTCAGGATCCATCTTGGGCCGTCAAAGCAGGCGTGAATGGTCAGGTTTCAATATCCCAGAGAGCTGGCACCGCTAATGAGCAGCCCGTGTCAGGGGCCTTGCGGGGCTTGTCCTGGGAAGGTGTCCAGCACGCCAGTCACAACTCAGCGATGCGTAGTTCGGCCAAGCCAGATAAGCCACCGAGTGATCAATGCACCGCAACTGCTTGCACCCTCACCGGGCCAGGCACTTTTGCGGCTAACCTAACCTGTTTGAGCAAGTTTGCGGACGACGACAACGCAGAAAGCAAACATGATGTTCGTTTCTTTTTCCAACAAAGCCCAACAGTTCCTGGCCTTTATCCGCGCACCTCGCACTTTTCTGGTTTGGGGAGCAGCAGGTGCGATATGGCAACAGTCGACGACAAGTTTGACGCCTCAATTGGCAGTGCTGCCCGACGTTCCAATACGGGCAGGCGGCGCTTACAAAGATGATAACCACGTGGAGTGGACCCGACCCGTTAAACTTTGGCGTCGTGATGGTGCTCCGGAGAGCGAGGAAAAGAGCGGTTTATGTATGCGTAGCAGTGCATGAGAAGGTGCGACGTGCATGTCTTGAGGGTTCGCGAGAAGACTGGCCGACGACGAACAACTGTAGGACAGGCAAGGTCAGCCGGGAACAGATGGAACATTGCGAGTGTCTGACGCAAGAAAAGGAGGCAATTGTCGCAAGCCCAATCTCGGTAGGCGACAAATTTCCCGCATAAAATGCATAGTACCGTTGGCCTGCCTTGGCGGTCCTATCAAGGAGCTTCAAGACATGTTTCGCTTGCGCTGTCTAACACGGCACGGCAACCTGCAGGAAATTGATGGTCTGTCTTTCGCCTGCCTGCGCGGATGCCGCTATTGCTTAGTAGACGTCAGCGCGATGCCGATTGAGGTGAAGAGGTCAGCTGGAGGAACTTTGGGGTGCGACGGCTTCGGCTTGTCCAGCGAGTGAGTCGACGTGAGGTTATCTCGACAACACCACTCACCCAGAATAGAGTTTGTATTAACGAGGTCAGGCCAGGTTCGGATGCTGGGTCGTTCGTCGGCAGCAGCCCGAGCGTCGCTGCTAATCAGGCCTGGCGCATGTTTAAGGCGATGGCTGTGGCAAGGTTTGGAGGCGTTGCGCACAGATGGAGTTCGTCCAGAGTCGACCTGTTGTCGCTCTCCCGACGCGTGACCTCTCGTACGAGAGCGATATCCGGCAGGAGTGGCGTGCGAGTTCAAGGAGAAGTTGGCGATGGCAGCCGATTAGGGCAGGCGCCGTTCTAGTGGGCGTTTCCAGGTCGGTGGTTGTCATCGTGCCTTCCTCTCCCCGTTTGGGCAGTGGCGCTGAGCCCGTCTCCCATTCAAGCCGTTGCTTCCTTTGACGGCAATCAGCTTCGCGCTTCCAGACGTCCCCTTATCGAGCTAAAGGAGGCTTACCTACCTCAGGTGGTCAATGACGGGCTTACGGGCAAATAAGCTAGCACCTGCCAGAACGTGGACAGCTGGATGAGGTAGCCGCCAGTGTGGCGGCCTGGACCTTCTCTCCCGTCCCCACCTCCACGCGGCATTGGCGCTGCATGGGAAAAGAAACACTGACACACCTTCTTTCACCGGCGCTCTTGCCCAGTTGCCAGGGGATCGCCGTAGATGAAGCAAGGATATATCTGTTCCTGCCACTGTTGCCCTTTCCCGATCGCCTCATCAACGCTCCTTTTTTTTTTTTTCAACGGTGCAGCGCTGCTCCCCCAAGATTCAACACCCGCCGCCTGCCTCTCTTTTTCGCCTCGATCGCGGCCTCTTTCTTTTCACCTCGCACACGTTCAAGACATCAGAACCTTGTTCTGTACAGAGTCTTGTGTCACCACCTCCTCTTCTCTTCCTCTCCTTTCCCGAGTCGACTGGCTGCTCGCCCACCGACTCTCCTTCTTCCAACATGAGCAACATGTCTACACACTCCAACATGGAGCGTTTGGAAGCTGAACCGCCCGTTGGATCCCCCGTCCGCCGCGGCCATCCCAAGTTCCGCGGCATGTGGAAGGCTGTCGATCGCTTCGACAAGACGATTTCGTCTTCTACCTTTGGACGAATTTTCAGATTGGAAGGGAGCGGTCACGTAGGTGTCTTCCGTCGCTGGGGATGCGGGTACTAACCGCCAGCAGCCTAAGGAGATCCCCGACTCGTCGTTCCTACGGGAAATCCGCGCCGGAGCCACTACGTTCGCGACCATGGCATACATCATTGCAGTCAACGTGAGTGTGGCCTCGTGCCCTCCAAGACTTTTGCTGACGAGATAGGCCATCATTCTCTCGCAGACCGGTGGTAATTGCGTCTGCGACCTGGAAAACAGGGCTGACTGCGATACCATTGACGCCTACAAGGCGTGCAAGGAGGGTGAGTGACTGCGTCCGAGCCTCGAACTCTGCTAACCTTCCAGACGTTCGGCGTGATCTGATCACTGCGACTGCCGCCATCGCCGGCCTTGCCAGCTTCATCTTTGGCTTCTTCACCAACCTGCCCGTGGCCTTGGCGTAAGTGGCCTCGCATGCACGCTGAACACCGGCTGACATTTCCAGTCCCGGCATGGGCCTCAACGCCTACTTCGCCTTCCAAGTCGTCGGCCCCAACGGCTCCGGAAACATCCCGTACTCGGTCGCCCTGACGGCAGTCTTTGTCGAGGGTCTCATCTTCATCTTCCTCGCGCTCACCGGAATGCGTCAATGGCTCGTCAAGCTCATCCCCGCAACGATCAAGACGGCAACCGGGGTCGGTATCGGTTTCTTCCTCACAGAGATTGGCCTTTCGTACTCGACCGGCATCGGTGCCATTACGGGCGGCTGGAAAGCCACCCCTCTGGCCATCGCCGGGTGCCCTATCGAAATGATTGACCCTGAGTCTCAAATGTGCAAGGGAGGTCTCATGTCAAGTCCCAAGGTGAGGAGCCCCGCACGGAGCACGAGGTCTAGCTGACGACTATAGATGTGGACTGCCATTTTTGCCGGCGGCGTCGTCACAGCCTACCTCATGTCGTTCCGTGTCAAGTACGCCCTCATCATCGGCATCGCCCTGGTGTCCATCCTCTCGTGGCCGTAAGTTGTCCTCTCCGTGCTTGAATCTGGCTGACCCGTCAGTCGCAACACCGCCATCACCTACTTCCCCTACACCGAGGAGGGCGACGCTCGCTTCGACTTTTTCAAGAACGTCGTCTCGTTCCATCCCATCCGGAACACTCTGAATGCTCTCGACTGGGACGTCGCCAAGAATGGCTCGCAGTTCGCCCTGGCTCTCTTCACCTTTCTGTACGTCGACATCATTGACGCCACGGCCACTCTCTACTCCATGGTTCGCTTCTGCGGCGTTGTCGACCCCAAGGACGGCGACTTCCCCCGGTCCACCATCGCCTACTGCTGCGACGCTGCATGCATCTCCATCGGTGCGCTGTTCGGCTGCTCGCCCGTCACCGCCTTCATCGAGAGCGGCGCGGGCATCGCCGAGGGTGGTCGCACCGGTCTGACGGCCATGACCACGGGGCTCTGCTTCCTCATCTCCATCTTTTTTGCCCCCGTGTTCGCCTCCATTCCTCCTTGGGCAACCGGCTGCACGCTTGTTTTGGTTGGCTGCATGATGATTCGCCAAATCACACAGATCAACTGGCGCTACATTGGCGACGTGCTTCCCTCGTTTGTGGTTATGACCTTTATCCCCTTCTCCTACAGCGTGGCCTACGGTCTCATTGCGTAAGTCTCCCACACCATCTGCCGCTCACTGCTAACATGACCAGGGGCGTCTTTGTGTACACCGTCCTCAACGGCCTCATCGCTCTGACTGTCTGGCTCTCTGGCGGCAGGTTGGAGCCTCGTGAATATGACATGAAGGAGTACTGGTCTTGGAAGGGCTCTGGCAAGCAGCCCTGGTTCGTTCGCGCTGTACGCGCTCAAGGCTGCTTCGGCCATGCAGACGCCGACAGTAAGCGTTCGTTCAACATGCAAGACCCCGACCACGAGAGCTCGTTCCGGACGAGCTCGCGCCTGGATTCGTCGGACCAGAAGGAGGGTGTCGCAATGGTGACTATCCCACAGCGCGCCGTCACACCGCGCTCTGTGCAATGATCTATCTGTCGAGGGTTATTTTAATTGCACAACGGATCATGGACATTAGTTGTAGATAGTAAATGATTGATACATCACGTCTGTTTGTGCCGATAAGCCCGTGCGATAAGCATTCGGCGGATCTTTGACCCCGGTCCGCCCCGCTGAAGCAACGGCGACCCACCCAAGCTCCTACGTCAACTGTGCTTGCCTGGAAATCCAATCGTCCTCCACCCCAAGCCTCAACAACCGTCAAGATGAGTGGATGGAACACGAGTAAGGACACCGCCCCTGATGCCCAACCCAGCTAACTTCTGCAGTCGAGTCCGACGCAGTATGTGAACGACGTCCTCCTTGACGACCCAGCTAACCGCCCAGGGTGTCTTCACCTACCTCCTCGAGAACCTCGGCGTCAAAGGCGTCCAGTTTGAGGAGCTCCTGACGCTCTCACCCGACGAGCTGGCCCCTCTCCAGCCCGTCTACGGCATCATCTTCCTCTTCCGCTACCCGTCCGAAGGCCTGCCCGCGCGTGCGCCCGAATCCTTCGACCGCGATGCCGCCGAACAAATCTTCTTTGCCCAGCAAACCATCCAGAACGCCTGCGGCACGCAAGCCCTGCTGAGCGTCGTCCTCAACAAGACGGCCGACATCGAGATTGGCGACAAGCTCACAGAGTTCCGCGACTTCACCATGGTGCTGCCGCCCGAGTTCCGCGGCGAGGCCCTCAGCAACTCGGACCTCATCCGCGACGTCCACAACAGCTTCGCCAAGAGCAGTCCCTTCGTCGACGAGACGCAAAAGACGGGCGAGGCCGAGGACGCCTTCCACTTCATCGCATACACCCCCATCAACGGCAAGCTGTACGAGCTCGACGGCCTGCAGCCCGCCCCCATCTCCCACGGTCCCTGCGACACCGATAATTTCCCCGCCAAGGTCATGCAGATCCTGCAGGAGCGCGTGCTCACCTACGCCAGCTCCGAGATCCGCTTCAACGTGCTCGCCATGGTGCGCGACCCCCGCATCGCCGCGCGCGAGATTGGCGACGCCGAGACGCTCGAGCGCGAGAACGAGAAGCGCCGCAACTGGCGGTTCGAGAACGCCCTCCGCCGGCACAATTTTGTGGGCTTCGCGGGCGAGGTCCTCAAGGGCGTCGTCGCGCAAAAGATTGACAAGGGCGATGCCGAGTACGATGCGTGGATCAAGGAGGGTCTCGAGCGGAGGAAGCGGGACGAGGATGCCGTGAGACTGCGCCGGAAGATGGGCGGCGGCGGTGATGAGGATGAGGAGATGATGGGCTGAATGATACCAGTGATGGATGAATTGATGTTTATGTTTGGTGAGCATGAAGGGTGTGCATGTGACGTGGATTCGTGGGATAAGTCGATGTAAGAGTGAGCCCAGATGGCAGACCTCGCCTCCAAAGGTCTCTAATAAGGGAAGTTGATAAAAGCCCACGCTCTATGTGGAATGACGCGTGTTTTTCACTTCAAAGCAGCAAAAAGAAAGCAAAAAGAATTGCAGTCTGCATTCGAACTGGCACGCTACTGACGCTTGGCGATGAGTCTCATCTGGTACTGAGCTGTGGGTTAACCCACTGCGCCAGATTCCTGGTTGTTGAAAACTTGAGCTGTCTACTGAGCTCATAAAGGGCTGCGCTGAGCTATTCTGCTCGCAATATGCTGGTGGTGATGCTCAGACCAATCTACGCCGTCTTCCCGGCGTTGGATCCGCCAGGGGGCCTAGTTTAGCGGGGGAACCTAGATAGGCTCATTAATTGACTGTCCCGTGTGTCTACAACTTTTTTGGTCCTGCATGTGAATGTACAGGAGCTCACTTGAAGGCAGCAGGGCGACGTTCAACCAACACATGTCACAGTCCGAGTCGGATTCATCGCCAAGGTCGCATCACAGCTGTCGCAAGGCAGGCATGTCAAGATATTACACATTTTGGATATGTGTAGCGATGCGTAAGCTGTCCGTATCCATCTTCTATTTCTCACATAATCTCCCAACGTAGTGCCTTGCGTGGGAGATGCACCATATTTGAAGATTTGGTACAAGTGTTGCGCTTCTAAACGGCCGGGCAGACTGTCAACTAGTTGCAAGATTGTCCCATCTTCTATGCAACATCCATACACTTCTACGCAGATTATAAACAGAGAACTACCTGGTGAGTTGATTTGGGGCATGTTTCAGCTTCTAGAACTTACTTACTGAAGAAGCGAAGCCGCCGTTGGGATGGATCCCTTTCCGTCACGTATACGCAGATTCAAAATGTCCAAAAGTCACCAAAGAAGTGAGCATTCATGTTCTTCAACTTCTATCAAAATTGAATTCAATGCTTGAGCACACCATCCCTACATCCTGCTAAACCTCTGCCTCACAGGGCTTGGGAGTCCCTGGAATTGTAGCCCCACTCGCTGGTCGTGGCCAAAGTGCTCGTCGCAGGGCTCCTCCTTGAACCGTTGGGAAACAGTGCAAGGGCCGCATAGGGAACTGTCGTGGCGGTTGACTTCGCCGTAGACTCCGCGACTAGAATGACGAACTGGAACCTTTAGAGACAGATTCTCGCAGCTAGTCTTCTTCATGGCCTCCGTCTGAGTTGGTCGGCGTACTCTATCAGTACCATCCCAGGCTTCTTCTATGCCACGCTGGACAGCCTTCTTCCGTCGATTTTGGCTTGCAGAAGCTTTGTTCTTGCATTGCCTGTGCTTCTTGGACGCAGCACATGGACCAATCTCCCGTTCCTCGTTGATGGGTCGTGCCTCTGCGTGCATGGCCGCGATCGCTTCATCAGTCAGGCATTCCTCGGCGGACTGAAGTGGAGCAGATTGCGTGGGAGTTTCTCGAGGAGCAGGTCGGGAGGCAGTTTCAGGCGCAGTCTGAGCTGGAACTCCTTGGGATACTGCCTTCGTGGCGGTTGCTTGATACCTAGGCTGGGCAGGAGTGGTTCGGTGCTGAGCTTGGGCAGGAGTAGGTTGGATGGGAGCAGGCTGAAGCGCAGTCTGCACTGGAATGCCTTGGGGTCCCGGATGGGCGGAAGCTTCTTGAGGTCCAGGCTGTGTGGGATGAGTCTGATACTCTGACAGAGCAGACTGGAATAGAGCGGCCTGACGCGTAGTCTGCGCGGGGGTAACTTGGGGCCCTGGCTGCATCGGAATCACTTGATTCGGAATCACTTGATACCTAGGCTGTGTGGGATGAGTCTGATGCTCTGACAGAGCAGACTGGAATGGAGCGGCCTGACGCGTAGTCTGCGCGAGGGTAACTTGGGGCCCTGATTGCATGGGAGTTGCTTGATACCCAGGCTGGTAAAGAAGGGGTTGGTACTGAGCCTGGGCAACAGACTGCTGGTACGGAGGCTGTTGGTACGGAGCCTGCAACGGGGCCTGGGCAGGAGGTTGGACCAGAGCCTGCAGAGGAGCCTGCTGGTACTGAGCCTGGAAAGGTAGTTGCTGATATGGAGCCTGTGCAGGATGCTGTTGGTATTGCGGCGCAGGAGGTTGCTGGTACAGCAGTGCAGGAAGTTGTTGATACAGCAGTGCCGGAGGCTGCTGGTATGGAGCCTGAGAGGGAGGCTGCTGGTACTGAGCCTGGACCGACGGCTGCAGGGGAGGCTGCTGGTACTGAGTCTGGACAGGTACTTGCTGGTATGAAGGCTGTAAACAAGGCTGCTGATATGAAGCCTGTGTAGGAGGCTGCTGGTAATGTACCTGAGCTGGAGGCTGTTGATACTGAGCCTGCCATTGGGCCTGGGCAGCGGGCTGCTGAGCCTGGACCGGATGCTGCAGAATGGGCTGCTGATACTGAGCCTGTATCGGGGCCGGGGCAGGGTGCTGTTGATACAGAGTCTGCAAAGGGGCCTGGGCAGGATGCTGCTGATGTTGCGGCGCATGGTGGGTAGTGTAGGCAGCCGTCGGCTGCGAGGGTCCGGGACCAGTGCCATACATGGACTGTGTCTGGGGGGCGGCGTATCCGTATGGCGCAGGAGGACCATGAGGCATAGGGACGGCAGCATTCACAGCCGTCGGCTGTTGCTGCGATCTGGTCAGCAAACTCCAATCAACTCACGACTCGGGTGGGATTTACCTGGCTCTGCCCGTTTGGAACGAAGAATTGTCCTGGCTGACCCGTATTCGTCATCGGGGCGCCTGCGGAGTGGCTTTGGAAACCTGGTTGATGATACATCATTCAATGAAAGCTTTTGCGTTGTGGCTACGGCTTGGTTGATGATGTTGTGAAGAGGAAGGAAGGAGGAGAAAGCTCTCGATAATCGAAGACTTGTGAAAAAGAAAGAAAAAATCAAACGAGCGAACTCTTCGAGAGCGAGATCGCTTAATATTCCTGGAGGATTGAGTTAAGGTAAGGTAGGTAAGGTAGGGTAGGGGGCGGCGACGTTCTTTAGGTAAGGTACTTGACCTGGGCCTAATGCAGGTACCGGCGCCATCAAACTGGCGTCGTGGCCAAGATCGACGCTACTGCACTCGCTTATCTGACAGCCCTACAGCACAGACCATTAGTTCGTCGCACACCCGCGTCCCACGCTCCACCGGGCTTGAACTCAATTCAACTTACTCAAGTCATTACTCAACTCAACTCTTGCAACGTACATTCATCATCCAGAGAGCGGAAAGTCAGCTTTTGAAAATGGTCAGTATAGCCCTTTTGAAAAAAATCCCTTCTTTTTCCCTTTCTTGCCGGATTTCGGCTACGATTGTCCAAAGTGCTAATTTTCATGATACCTACCAGACAATGTACCAACCCAGCGATCCAAACGCAGGGCATCAGCCACCGCGCGACGCAATGGCGCCTAAACCGAACGTCGAGTTTGGTCGTTTGACGATCAACTTGAGTAACGACCTCAACAGCCCGTTCCAGATTCTGAACCCCAGGCAAGGCATCGCCACAATCGACAGCTTGACAAGAACTGTCGGCGCATGCCACGGCCCGCGGGCGCAGGCTCACGCAATGCTCGACAAGGTTCTGGACCAGACCAAGGGCTACATTGTGACCTTCATGTACAGCATCTTGCCGACGGCAAGCACTGAGGCCGACAGTCAACAAACCGCGCGACAACAGACCGTCAAGATCGAGCAACCCCCGTCACTGCCGCTTCGAGACATGGCGACCCCATGCACCTACCCACCCAACATGAGTATGCCCCTGCAGCCCACTTACCGGCCTCAGGGTCCAGTATACGACGTTCACGACGTGAACATGCCCTATTCGCAACCCCAGGGCCCAAGGCACCCGACCGCCATGGGCGTGCCGCTCGGCTACAATCTTCAGGCACCCTCATACCCAGGCACCACCATCCCGCCGTACTACTATGACTATGCCCATGCCCATCCAGCCCAGGCCCAACCCCAGGCCCTGCCCCAACCCCTGCCCCAGGCTCTGCAACCCCAGGCCCCGCTCCAGCCGCAGCGCACACGAGAGTCTGGTTACCGAAACCATCCTGGGTACCGATCTGAGTCCGAGTCTGACTCCGACTACGACACGGCTCTCTCCCGGTCCCGAATCGAGCATCAGATGCAAGCCACAGCCCCCGCTCCAGGGATCATCGCGCCCACACGTCGACGACGTGAACATGCCCGGCATGCAAAGTCAAGGCCATTCCGCCGGCCAGAGACCCCCGACAGAAATCTGCAGGTTGGGCCTCGAAGTGCCTAAGGACAGCATCGAGACCGACGACCAACGGAATGTCAGAGCCCGATCGATCCGTCTGAAGCGAGAGTCTAGCGAGGCTCCAGGCCGTAACCAGCCTCCACCGTCCCGCCGGGATCATCACGAAGATCACCGCCCGCACAATCCGCCCCATGGTCGCCCTTCGCATCACCGCCCCCACGGACAGTACCGGCACAATCCTCTACATGTTCCGCCTACGCGGCGACCCCAGGCTCGAACTGACGCGTCTCGCTCACTCCCACAAAAGACGAAGCCCCATAAGGATACACATCCGCTTTTGGGCCAAGATGAGTGGAAGAAAAGAGACCGTGAAAATCGCGACCTCACTTGCGGCAATTGCGGTCTTCGGGGCCATATCCTGCTCGACTGCCTGTGGCCCGACAAAGATGGATGGCCGCAAGCAATGGGTCGGTTACAACTACAGCAACGACTCCTTCTTGCAACGCACGAGCCCGTGGAGAGAAAGCTACAATGCGGGGCAAGTGATCGAGAGGGATGCTTTGCGCTACGAGTACTGGGGGGCTAGGGACTAAAACGGGGCAGGACGGGGCCGACGGCCGGTTTACCTATACAATAGATGAGATGGGGCAATTGAAAGAGTACTGTGTCGCGAGTTGTGATGACCTTGTGCTTCGTGAATTGCTTGTGATGATAGGTAGACACCGAGGTATGTCAAAACAGCGTACGGAATGGCCTTCCGGGAAAGTGACCGGCGAATAACAGAGATAGGTTCCCGTCCGCGTTTCGTACCGACCTTAGTGGGGGGCGGGGGACCCTGCAAAGGCTGCAGGCGTAGGTAGGGAAAGATAAAACGTACCTAGGTAGGGAAAGATAAACGTACCGAGGGCACTTTGGCGTCTAGAAAAATTGCGGCCTCTCAACCGCGAGACAGTCCCGACAGAGTTACAAGCCCCGAGTGCCTTCTGAGCAGACAGTGCCTGTTTCCCATTCAAATGCAGGCTTGCAGACGTCCGAGAGTGCCCACGAGCCTCAAGACGATGACTCATTTCACGCAGAGTCACCATCTCATTCCATGCCGTACGACCAGGGCTATGGCATGGGTCCTCTCATGTCGATGTACGACTACCCGGGTCTCCATCAGCAGTATCGGTATCCTCAGTATACTGCCTACGATCAGTATGACATGGATTGGATGCCCTGGCAGCAACATTGGCTTTCGTCTAATACCAGACGTCGACATGCTCCCGGCGCATTTCAGCCGCCGTATGCTCCCCCCCGAGACGTCCATCCGGTCGAGGACGATGACGCTATTGAGGATGCGCAGCCGGTGAAGAACTCCAAGCCGGCCGGGGACGCTTCCGCCGCCAGGGATGCGAATTCTACTCAAGACTCCGAGCCGGTCGAGGACGCTCCCGCTGCCACCCAGCCGAAAGAAGACGCTCCGCTGGCCCACACGACGGCACAATCCTCTGACAGCAGCAGTCGCAGCAAACCGCTCTCGGCATCGGCGACCCCCTGGACACAGGTCCAGCGAGAGGACGGCAAGGAGCCGGAGGCACCGGCCCCGCCCGCAAGCGCACTGCGGCCGATGGTAGCCGCCAAGCTCGACGTGTCGGTGAGAGCGCTGCACCCTTTCAAGGAGCCGCAGCTGGGCCGCAACAACAAGGACAAGACATGCGCCAACTGTGAGCACGAAGGCCACGTCCTGTTGAACTGCGCCGAGGCGGGCAACGAGGGCTACATCGACGGCTGTCCCTGGTGCAACGACGCCAGCCACATCATCGACGACTGCGAGACGTTCGAGGCCGAGTGTAAGACGAAAGGGCATGAATGGACTCTCCAGGTCCTGTTCCGCATGCTCTGGGCGCGCCGTGTGAACAAGCCCCCCTGGGCAACCTACAAAAGCTGGTGGCTTCAGGGGAAGAATGCTTCGAGCTCGAAAGTTCGAAGCGGGCAGAGTGCGTCCAAGTCCAACAACTCGTCGGTTGGCAAGCAGTGGACTCTCTGGTCCCAGCTGGGCGCACCGTGGACAGCGACCTTTTCGAAGGAGGGCTGCCAGCAGGTAGAACACTACCCGTATGCGGAGGAGGCTGCGTTCGAATATCACAGCTTGGTCAAGGACAAGGCCACACTGGACCAGTCCGGGTCCATCTTCCTCGCGCAGGACCTCGAGTTTGAGCGCCTTGGAGGGGGCGCCAGAAAGGCCAGGGTCAAGTGCATGGATGTGGGCGACATCGAAATCGACCCGCGTGCCTTTGGAAGCCATGTGATGAGCGCTAGGGATGCGAAGAATTGGGCAGTCAGGAAGTCGCAGGCTATTAAAGAGTAGACGAGATTGTACACCAGGATTGCACGCTTGAGACTGTAGAGCAAATTGATTTTTTATGAATGATATATGGTGTCTACGAGGCCGAGTGGCGTTGTGCGGCGATGGTGCGGACAGTAGCGATTTGTGTGTGTACGGGTCCTAGACATACTAATACCAAAGCTCACTTACACGCTGCGGTTAGAGTGTCTAGGAGGCCCGCGCACCAAACCGCGGGCTACACTTACACGCTATGCACACCTTAATTAAATAACGTCACTTATAAGACATTCACATAGAGGCTTAGTAGTTGCAGAGAGTCAATTTAGAACCTATCTACAGATTATGAACCACGCTCGTTGGCGTTACGTGCGATACCTATACACGCGGCGCTGGCCTCTTCTTCCCAATGATAAACTCCTTCACATCGGTCCTCACGACACACTTTGCCCTGTAGCAATATCCACCATGAGCCGACTGATAAGTGCACTTGTGGACCCCTTTCACGAAGAGGTCTGGCTGCTGGCAGTCGTTGTCGTCAATCATCTGGTACACGCAGTAAGCCTCGTTGTGCTTTGCGAGCTCGACGAACTGCGCGAAGCGCGCCCACTTCTCGTCATCTCCGGCAATGAATGCGAGAGATTCCACGACCTCGTCCGCGTTGTCGTGCCGTCCGTCGTCAAAGATGGTGAGGGAGGCGAGGCGCTCGCTGACCTTGCTGAGACCTTGGTCCAATCCGTGGCAAGCTGCTCGGGATCCGAACTCACACGCTGCCTCTTGCGGGGATCGGAAGCGGCGCTGTCGCCCTGGGACGCGTGGGCCCTTGCGATGAGATCCACCTGCGACTTGACGCCGTCGACTGTTGCGATAAGCTTGTTGAATATCTCTTCAGGGGATTGACCAGACTCGCGGGTCTGGTCTAGCTGCATGGCATCCACCTCATCCTGGAGGTCGTCCCTGTCAGCGGTGAGGTCCTCGACCTCCCTCTCCAGGCCCTTCTTTTCCTCCGCGAAAGCCGCCGCGTCGCCTTCGAGTGCAGACTTGTCCCGCTTGAGCTGGGCCAGCTCCTGCTTCCGCGTCTCCGCTTCGCCCTCGAGCTTTGATTTGGCCGCTCTGAGTTCCGCGTTGAGCTCGTTCAAAAGAGCGGTTCGCTTCTCCTCTGCCTCGAGCTTGGCCGTAGCCGCCTCGA